CGCACAACAACCCCCCCCCCCCCACCACACACACACACACTAAAGGCAGCCAGTCAGTGATTGTGAGTCAGTCAAGACAAGCCGGCTACTGCGTCCTTGCTCGGTTGCTTGAAAGGTCCGGTTGGCTGGCATGCTGTCCTATGCTGTGGTGTGGTGTGTGCCGAGAGCCCATTCCGAGAGCCCATTCCTTGCTGACTCCCTCAGAGTCTGCGCAGGCAGTACATGACGGTGCACATGACGAACACCATGTACGACACGGCGTGGTTGTGGTAGTTGATGGTCGACTCCATGAAGGGACTCGCCGGGTCGTGGCCGCCCATATCCCAACGCCACCACTCACCGTGGTCACAACTGCACACAACACACACGCACACACACACAAAGCACGTAAACAACACAGACAAGTGAGTGGGTGGTACATCCGCCGAACACGCGCGTCTGCGTCCCTCCCTCCCTCCGTCCCTCACTCACCGCGCCACGTTGCCAAACGAGAAGGGCATGGCCTGGCTGGCATTGCTGCCGCTGCTCGCGAGGGCTCTGGCACGCCAGTTGCCGACCAGGGACGTGAGCGAGAAGCTGCGCGACACGCTGTCCACGAGCCTCGGCGACACTTGACTCCTCAGCTGAGCCGAAACACCAAGAGGCACACCGGCATGGCTGCCGGGCGCCGCTGGGGGACTGTTAAAAACCATCGGCCTCCGACTCCGGGGTTTCAGTGTCTGGGGTAGAGGTCATTCGCGTAAAACAGGAGAATTTACGGCGCAGCCAATCCGGTGGCAGGAGTTCAAAGCCAAGGGTTCAAAAGGCAGGAGTCGGGCAGCTTAAGAATTTTGATAGCAGGCTGAACATCTGCAAATGAAGACGGCCATTGCAGCACTCACCCTGCTTGCAGGTGGGACGCGGGATGAAGAGATGGTGGACGGGGAGATCAGTGTGTGGTCAATAATGCTTTTGGTTTGGTGTATGTATATGTCCGTGTGTCCATTTCTTGCTGCAGGAGGCGTCAGTGGATTCGTGCTCCCCTCCCCTGCTGGGCAGCAGTGCCTCTCACAAAGGAGTACAGTTGCCACTGACCGACATGGCCAGCTGGGGGTGTCACCAACCTTCTATCAGCTGGTATGTATGTATGTGTGACGTGACCAGACAAATGAGCTGATATATGAGAGATCAGCAAGCGCATCTATCTGTGGTGGATTTATGAATCGGTCTGGTTGGTGTATGCGGTGTCTGCAGAGGCACGGTGATGCGCCCCAACGTTCCTACCGATCCCGTTTGAATGCCGTCTTCGGAGCCGCAACTGCCACCGTACGCACTCAGTCACGAGCCTCTCTCGATAGATAACCGACGGCATGAGGCAGTCATCTGTTGCTGCGTGCTGTGCGGCTGGCTGGCTGGCTGCATACTTGCAGGCTCAGGAGTGGAAGGCGGTGCTCAACGATGACGAGATCGCCGCGGGCGACCTCGTGCCTGTCCAGGTCAGTGCAATGGGAAGGAAGATCCACACAGCAGGACCACCACATTTTTTCCAGCCTCATACATCCGTCCGTCGACCCGTCCGTCCGTCCGTCTGTGGCTTCCTTCGTCATTCAGGTGAACGGGTTGAATCTGCTGCTGGTTGCCGACGCCGACGGCAGCATCTACTGCGTGGCCAACGTCTGTCCGCACATCGGCACGCCCTTGGAGCAAGGCGAGGTCAAGGACGGCAAGGTCGTCTGCCCTCTGCACCGCACGGCCTTCTCGCTCGAGAGCGGTGAGGTGGTGGGCGACTGGTGCCCCTTCCCGCCCCTCGTCGGCCCCCTCACCGGCAAGCTCAGGCCGCCCCAAAACCTGGCCACCTTCCCTGTCAGGCAGCGCGGCCGCACCATTGAGGTCCTCGTAGACTCAAGCGCCAAGGCCAACTTTGAGAAGAACTACTGGAAGGGACTGCTGGACGCACAGGGCAAGGCTGACGGGTCTTACTACTAAGCGATGGGATGGCGTGTGGGGGAGGGGAGGGGTGCCTACCTGCGTGTGCTACTATCGATCGACGGGCGTGTTTAGAGGGAAGGGCTGCGTCCCGTGAAGATATGCCTCCTACTCTTTCGTCGATCCTGACGAGAGCAGCCAGGGGATTTTTCCAGCTGGATGCGACCCCACCCCATATATCTCCCTCCTCTCTGTGTCGTGTGGCATGTCCCTCCTCGTGCTTGCCTCCCTCCTGCCTGTATGGCCACATGTGTGCCATGCCAGCCAGCCAGCCAGCCAGGCGCGGTGGTGTGGTGTGGTGTGGTGTGGTGTGGTGTGTGGGGTGCGTGTTAGTGTGCGGGTGGGTGGTGGTTTCTCCTGCCTCTCTGCCGTCTTGTCCTTCCTCTTCGGCGGGGATGTGTCTGTCTGTACAGCTACCGAATGACTCGATCCAATGGGCGCGTGCGGTGTGGTGTAGTGTGGACGGTGCAAGCCAAGTGAGGGGGGGCAGTGTGCTTGTCAGTCGTAAAAAAATGCATCCGTACGTGTGGCGATTCATTTCGGTCTCTATCGATGCGAAGTCGCCCCTCTCCTGCTAATGTCGGATGGATGCCTTTTGATCGTTTTGGATGACGCTAGCTAATGCCAGCTCTCACCTGCGGTATGCATGCTCCACACGTGGGTGTCATGTCACCTGCCTTGCCATGCATTCTTCTTGCCACCCTGGTCATGCATGAGCCAGCAGACCGCCGTGCATGTCATGGGGCGCTGTGTATCCAAGTGAGGCAAAGTGCATGAGCATGGCTTCCTGACAATGGACAGACGATGCGTGCATCAATTTTTGCCAGTCAAACTCAACGGTACTCAACGTCATGAATCCGATCCATCGCCAGCTTCAAGATGACATCAGGCAGCAGGTTTTCCTTCTTTGTTCATTTCGACAACCAACGAACGCATCAGGCGAAGCTCCACGCCATCGACGAGGGCTTCCTCTACATCGGCGGAGAAGCAGCAGGCAAAGATGCTCATCTGCTGAGGGAGCACCGCATCACGCACATCCTCGTTGTCCATCATTCCATCCAGCCGGTGTTCGAGGACAAGTTCAAGTACCTGGTCGGTCAGCGGAGCGACTTGACGGAACGAAAGGTGGCAGACATTCGGTCGGTTTGTGTGTGTGTGTGTGTGCAGGTGTGTCCTGTGAAGGACATGCCTGAGGAGCTGTTGTATCCCTCCCTGGTCAAGGCGCTGCCATTCATCGGCGAGGCAAAGCAGAAAGGCGGGTACTTAGGCCACCCAAACCCAACAGCCTCCCACGAATCACACTCTGGACATCCTGCCTGTCTGCGTCTGTCTGTTTGTGGCTGGCGTCAATCAAATCAGTCGTGTGTTGGTTCTCTGCGGCAAGGGCGTGTCGAGGTCGGCGTCGGTATTGATAGCGCAGCTCATGTCCAGCCGGCAGATGACGTACAAGGAGGCGTTCGACGAGCTGCTCAAGATCCGGCAGGTGTACCCCAACATCGGCTTCCAAGTGCAGCTGCATCAGATGGACAGGGCACTGCAGGCCAGGAGGGAAGAAGGAGCAGATGCAGACACAGATGGCGATGTTGCCAGCCTGCTGCAGCCCATGGACATGACCGCCTACCAGCTGCAGAGCCTCATTCAAGTAGGCACAGCGAGCAACAGATGCTCAAACAAAAGAGGGCATGACAGGACATGGTGATATATGTTGTGCGTCTTCTTCTCTGTCTGTCTCTTTGCTATACATGCTATAGGATGAGGTATCTCGCAAGCTGGAGGAGACTGCTTCTGTGGTCGAGCGTCTCTTTAGTGAGCCCCATGTGCTGCACCAGGCGTCCACGTGGCGTCGGTTCGGTGTCTTCTATGAGGGGCTCAAGAGCTACCGTGTGCAGCTCATGGGCCACAACGAGGAGGAGCGCACAAAAAGTGAGGCCATCGTGACGGCAGCCAAGCAGGTCGCCAAGAGACTGACAAGCCTCAAGGTATGGCATGGCCACACAGGCAAATACATACCAACCCATCTGCACGTGGGTCGACCCACGTCCGTCTGCCTGTCTGTCTGTCTGTCTGCAGGCGGTGTATTCCGAGTCGCTGGAGGGCGTGAGGCTTGCGGCATCGCTGGCGCAAGAGATCAACCTCTGGCTGGCGCAGCTCACCCCTCACCCCACCCCTCCACCGTACGAACTCGGCGACTCGCAGGAACTTATCTCACTGCAGCAGCAGCCACCAAGAAAGGACTGCGCAGCTGAGCCGGACGAACCACCCCAACCGCCATCAGGGAAGAAGAAGCGACTTGACGTGGAGGTGGTTGACGACACGAGTGAGGCCAACAGCGACAGTGAGGCAGACAGCAGCAGCGACAGGCGTGAGAGGGAGAGGCGTCGAGAGAGGAAGGCGCGTAAGAAGGAGAAGAGGGAGAGGAAGAGGGCCAGGAAGGAGGCCAAGAGGCGACGGCGGGAGGAGGATGGATGACCACACGGGGAGGGAGGGACAGACAGGGGTGAACGGAACTGACTGACTGCTGGTGGGCGGAGGGACAATATTTATATACGTGTGTGCATGCGAATGTCTGTCTGCACGGATGAGTATTTGTCGAATGACTGACTGACTGACTTGCTTGGTTTTGGGAGCCAGCACGGCGTCGGTCGCACCATCCATCCATTCATTCATTCACACGAGCGAGAAAGCGACGTTCGTTCATTAGTCAGTCAGTGCATCCGTCTGTCCATCGTGTCACAGCGTATACGCACCGCGCCCCTACCATGTAGCTAGCCAGCCATAGTCGTTAGTGTACACGCTGACGTCAAATACAGACAGCCGACCTTATCCATCGCCCCATGACATGATGATTGATGTGCTGCTTGCCTTATCCACACGCGTCGCGTCGCATCAGCCACGCCACGCCAGGCCGCGACACACCTCTCTCCTCTCTCCGTCCCGCCTCCCAACTTCCCTTACTTGAGCTTGTCACATCACATCTCTGCTGCATAAGGCATTGCTCGTGCGCTGCCGAGTGCGTGGCGCCGCACCAGGTTGTCGTGCAGCCGACGGTATATCTTCAACTGACACACAGAGACACAGAGAGACACAGAGTGAGACGGATTGATTGGTGAATGTGTTGGCTGGCTCGTGTGCAGTGCAGGGGTTGTTTGTTTGTGTGTTACCTGGTCCTGCAGCGAGAGTGTGGCGATGGACGAGAGGATGCTCTCGACAGCCTCTTGCCGGTCCGTGTACACGAAGCTGATCAGACACACAGACAGACAGACACGGGGAGGCAGGCAGGCGTGGATGTGTGTGTGTTGGTGTGGTGGTCGACTGACTGACTGATTGACTAATTGTTGTGTGTCTCTCTCCCTTGCCTGTTGTAGTAGATGTATGTGAAGATGCCCATGAGTATCTGGCAGTCGAAGCGGTCCGTCAAGCCGCCGTGACCCGGGATGCTCCCACCGAAATCCTGCATGGGCCGGGCGACACACACATGGAGGGCGTGGCGTGCGAGCAATGTCTGTGTGTGTGCGGGCGTGTGGCTGGCCTACCTACCTTGATCTTGAAGGCCCTTTTGACGCCTGATGCGAAGAATCCGCCAAAGGGTGCGATGATGGCGGCGAAGAAGCCCAGGACGATGGCGTGGCCGAGCATGGGCGTGATGACCAGCTCAGACAGACCTATGTGTCCCACACACACCACACGCAGGGAGCGGCACATACGAATGGAATCAGGACGTATTGATTCATTGTGTGGGTGGCATACATACCAGCCATGTCGGCGAGTCTGGCAGGCAGTCTGTAAGGCCTTGGTGTGAAGACGATGTTGGGGTCGCAGTGGAGGTCCCAACGGAACGGCACAAAGGTTATCTTCTCCTGCAACGCAACGCAACGAATGCATTGCAAGAATTACATCAATGCACGTGACATCACACAATGAGCTAGCTGGGTCATGTGTGTGGCTGTACGTAAGAGAGAACTCTGTATGTGTGTGTGTGTGTGTGTGTGCGTTGCGTTGGTCTGTCTGTCTGTCTACCTGTGGGCAAATGAACCACTTGTACTGCTCCAGGACTGAGGCACACAGCACCGCCCACACCATCGTCACAATGGACGCACCTGCAGCCAGCGGAACGTTGCAGCCATTCAACGCACTCATGTCATGCATGTGTGGATCTGTCTGTCTGTATCTTGCTTATCTCTCTGGCGTACCTACCGATGAATCCCTCCCAGGTCTTTTTTGGCGAGAGGGCGATGAGCCGCGTGCGGCCGAAGAACACACCGAAGATGTACGCAAAGACGTCTGCACTCACACATGGCATGCAGCAAAGCACGTCACACACACATGAAAAGGCACACCACACGCGGGGCGAGTGTCGTGTCCGAGTGGGTGGCAGTGGGTGGCTGACCGTTGACGACGACGAGTGTGGCTGGGAGTACGAACCAGATGAGTCCGTTGTAGACGTTGGCGATCATCGACAGGCTGTTGACCACCACCACCAGCAGCGTTATCAGCACCATCGCCAGCTGCTTGAACTGATATCGCAACGTGAACCTGACATACATGACACACCACACCGCCACACACACACACATGCAGCCACTCCCCCACCAGGAAGGTCACTCAGTGGTCAGTCAGGCCAGCGGCTCCCTCCCTCCCTCACTTGCGCAGTGTGAGGACGAAAGCGATGAATCCGGTGGTGAATGCGACGAAGGAGATGAAGGGGTGGTACGAGAGGATGACGTCCACCGCTATGTACTTGAGTGAGAAGGTCTCGATAAGCGGCGACACCCATTTGGCCCCCACAAAGAAGATCGTGCACGCGAAAAAGTACCACCTGATGGAGGGAGGCGATCCATGCAGCCAGCACAGCCACCACAGTGAGTGGATGGGATCAGAGAGAGAATGTGTGTATATGTCTGTGTGTGTGTGTGTGTGTGTTTGGCTGCCTAAGGAAGAAGAATAGCGGCATCTTCTTGTCCTTTTCGACGTTCCTCTTGATGGCTATCACCTCGCCATAGATCCCCCCAGTGGCCACCTGCACATAACATACACACCACACCACACCACACGGGGATGGATGGATGAATGAATGCATCCATACAAACAATACATTCATGTGTGTGTGCCTTTGCTTCCCATCCCATCCCGTCCCGTCCACCCGCCCACCCACCAGCAGGAAGAGTGTGCAGTAGATGTGCCCCGCAGCCAGCAAACAGAAAAACGAACTCACAAGAATCAACGTCCAGCTGCAAACACACACAATCACACACGCACACACACACACACAGACCCCTCTTCCCTTACTTATCCCAACCATACCATACCACTCCACTCCCCTCCAGCGCACCCACACGTGTGCCCACCCGTACGCACATCGTTCTGGTCCTGAAGGTCCTCATCTTTTGCTGCCAGGGCTTGTCGGCCTCCAGCTGCGGCATGGGCCCCCGGCCGTGTCTGTCGTGCCGCATGAGGTAGGAGGACGACCCGCCCCGGGGCGTCGAGGGTGTGTGCGAGGGAGGGGGGAAAGCAGACGACGACAGACCTGACGGCGGATTCATCGACGACGACATACCACCGCTCCGCAGAGAGGACGACCGGTTGCGGCGTCGAGAGCGCTCTGACTCGCCCTCTGTCATCTGCCCACAAGCATCCAAGGAAACAACCAGACAGGCAGACAGGCAGACAGGCGTGCACTGCACATGTGGATGGTTGGATAGGGGAGGAAAGCGCTCACCTCGGTTTCTGACTCAGTTTCTGTTTCCTGTTCGGTGAGCTCCGACGGCCTCCTGTCGTCCTTGTCAATCATCGCCGCGCCACTGGTCGCATCCCTCGCGCCCCTGGAGGCCTTGCTGTCGTCCCTGCTCATGCTGCCGCTGGTACTGCTGCTCGCGTCTGTCTGGTCCTTCACACGCGATGCTGCTGCTGCTGCCGGTGCTGGTGCTGGTGCTGAGGATGCCTGTGGCTGCTGTGTCGGCTCCTGTGGCTGGGTTTTTGCTTGCGGTTGTGCAGGGGCTGGTGGTTCGTCCGGTGGAGGCTGCTCCTCGACCGTGGTCGCCTGGCCACTCATGGATGGGGACGTTCCAAAGGTCGATGCCGTAGATATACGATGAGAGGAGTTAGTCTGATGGATTCAATTGATGCCGACGTGCGCCGAATACCCTCGAACAACACAGCTCGCACATCTGCAAGCTTGGCTCTCAAAAGGAGGGAGTTTCGTCGAGAGTTCCCCGCTTGTGTTGTGTTGTGTTGTGTTGTGTTGATCGGTCCAGCCAGCAACTGGGTCGATCTTTGTTTTCATCAAGATTCCAGCGCCTCACCTGCGTGTGTGGCTCTCCCTCCTCGCAGCCATAGTAATGCTGCAGTCGGCCTGGAGCAGCGGACTCATCAACAGGGCTCTCAAAGCAACCACACCAACAGCATTCACCGCCGTCCGCCCACTGCGGACATTCGGCCACTCCCCATCTGTTGCTGCTGCCGCGTCCTACGCGAGGCGGGTTGGGGTGAGGATGGACGCGAGCAGAGGAGTGGCGACTGCGACAGCAGACAAGCCGACAAAGGCCTTCCCGGTGAGGGAAGGCGATGCATCCAATGAGATAGATAGTATGGGAGGTGGATGGATGGATGGATGGGGGTGTATTGTGTGCAGGGTGCGGGTGACTTTCTGCCGTTGGAGGGGTTCGAGCACATGGAGATCTACTGCAGCAACGCCAAACAAGCCGCACACTGGTGCCACACGCTCACACATTTTGCAGAGAGGGCGGTCGACAGGCACGTCGACGTCTGGTCGGTGTGGTCGGTTGGTTGGTCAGGTATCAGTCGGTGATGGGTTTCCAGCCGCTGGCGTACAGCGGGCTGGAGACGGGCGTCAAGGACAAGACCAGCTACGTCCTGCGCCAGGGCAACATGACACTCGTGCTCACATCATCACTAGTGCCCAACTCGCACATCGACAAATTCGTCTCATCCCATGGAGATGGTATGTACGGTACACACATACACACACACACACACATACAGCACACAGACATATGTTGCAAACATGCTCCCATCTATCCATCCATCCATTCCATCCGACTGTGTGTGGTGTCAGGTGTCAAGACGATTGCGTTGCGCGTGCCCGACGCGCGTCAGGCGTTCGCCGAGACGACCAAGCGCGGCGCGCCGGCCCACATGGAGCCGACGGAGGTGTCGGACGCCAACGGGACGGTCGTCATGAGCGGTATCCAGACATACGGAGATGTGGTGCACGTCTTTATCGAAAGGAAAAACTACAACGGTACGTACGGTGGTAGAGGTCGTCAGTCAAGTCAACAAACATACATATTTGTGACCACAGCACAGCACAGCACAGCCCCTTGACTTGTGTGTGTGTGCAGGTCTGTTTCTGCCGGGTTTCCAGCCGTGGAGCCCGCCGTTCAGGGCCCCCCCAGTCGGGCTGGAGCGGATCGACCACATCGTAGGCAATGTCGACTGGGGGCAGATGGACAAGTAAGTGTGTGGGTGGCTTGGGGTGGGGTGCGGATCGGATCACGCACGGGAGGGCACGGCAAGCCCGAATATGGATGCGGGCGGCTGTGTGTGTGTGATTGTGTGGGTAGGTGGTGCAAGTACTACGAGGATGTTATGGGTTTCACCAACCTGATATCGTTCGACGACAAGGACATCTCCACCGAATACACCGCACTCATGAGCAAGGTCGGTTGGTTCACACCCTCCCTCCCATGCATGAGGCACGACAGCCGGATACCGATGCGTGTGTCCGTCCGTCTGTCTGTCGGGTCAGGTGATGACCAGCGGCACTGGCTATGTCAAATTCCCCATCAACGAACCTGCCAAAGGTAAGGTAACACACCCCACCACCATTACACTCGTCCGTCCCTCTCTGTGCGTGCCAATGTACTCACTGCCCGCTCCCCCCCTCGCTGGCTGATCTGATCCAGGCAAGAAGAAGAGTCAGATCGAGGAGTACCTTGACTTCAACAACGGGGCGGGTGCGCAGCACGTGGCCATTGCGACCAAGGACATCATCAGCACCGTCAGCCAGATGCGCCAGAGGGGGTGCGAGTTCCTCTATGTCCCCGGCACCTACTACGACACCGTCACAGACCGATGCGGGCAGATTGACGAGGACCTTGAGGCACTCAAACAGCAAGGTAGGTCTGTTTTAATGCAATGCATCTGTACACCAAGCCACGGCTTTGCGTGTTTGTGCGTCGTGTCGTCTCGTGTCGTGTGTTGTGTGGTGTGCAGGGATACTGGTGGATCGCGATGAGGACGGCTACCTGCTGCAGATCTTCACCAAACCCGTGTGCGACCGCCCCACGCTCTTCTTCGAGATCATACAAAGAAAAGGTACGGACGGACGTACGGCCGACAGACGGACGGACAATCGACGATCGTACCTACCTAAGGAGTGTGTGTATGTGTATATGTCGGTCGCCCCTGCAATGCAATGCACGTGTGTGTGGGGCGGTACATGCCATGCCATGCAGGCGCGCAGAGCTTCGGCAAGGGCAACTTCAAGGCGCTATTCGAGTCGATAGAGGAGGAGCAGAGGAGACGGGGCACTCTGTAGCCAAAGGCCAGGCCAGGCCAGGCCACTCATCCATCTACCGGCCGATACAAAGCTCAGCTCATGCATCCATCCAATCCATCAGTGTCTTATTGTATTGTCTGTCGAGAGAGCAGGGCAGCAGTGAGGGAGAGGGGGAGGGAGGGAGGGAGGGAGGGAGGGAGTGTGCGGGGCTGCCTCGGCTCGTCTGTCTTGTGGTGCGTGGTGCCCTCTCTCTTTTTCGACTTTTTCCGTTGGAATCACCTACCTGTGGTCTGATAGGCAAGTAGCGCTTGTGTACTTGTGCTTTGTTCGTTGGAGCGCAAGTGGTGGTGGCTGGTGGCGTGCTGTATTTCTTCGTGACGACGTGAGTGACCGGCCCATACCATAAACACACACGGTTAAATCAAATCGCAGCACGCCACGCTCTGTCCAATCGTCAGAAGACAGACTCGCATAACGTCTGTTGGCCTATCAATCAATCAATCAATGAATCCTGTCTAAATCTGGATGGCTAGGTGGTTCGACACGAACAGGGAAAACGCCCTGCAGGCAGGCAGGCACCGACACACACGCCACACATGCACTTGCAAGAGGCGCAGAGAAAACTGCCGGCCCACGAACACAGAAGCATCACACGCAATATATAGCTGGCAGGCTGAAAGAATGCATCGAAGAGGCCCCTACCGACGCACTGCCGCAATGCCTTGCCTTTCCAACCAATGCCGAAAATTGCCGTATGCGTGTAACGACTTACACACACGTACATACACACACAGACGAACACACACACACACATCGGATCCGATCGAATGTTGCTGGCTGCTTTCTTACTAGAAAAAGAAAGCAACACACACGAACGACACACGAACGACACACGAACGACACACACACACGTACTTACAACACCCCAATACACCCACCCACTGCTCACATATATCATCATCCCTCAGTCAGTGGCCTCCGGGCACTTGAGCCTCCCATCCGGCGGCACATTCAGCTCAATCATCATGTTGAGGAACTCCTCCACACTGATCTTGCGGCCCGACCAGGGAATGAAACGATACTTCTCCGCAGCGTGCTTGCGGTCGTCGGTCGTCTGGGGCCCCTCCGTCCTCACGGGCAGGAACTTGCCCAGGTTGGCATAAAAGGCCTCCTGCAGCCGGGCCGTCACGTCACGCGCCACCTCGAAGCCCAAGATATGCTCGCGCACCGTGATTGGCTTCACAAGACTCAGGCCGGCAGGGGGTGGGGGGATGTGCAGGTCACGGACGTACCTGACGACCCGACCAGCACACCGATGGATGGGCGGACGGAGGGAGAGATGGGTGGGTGGGGGGTGGTGTGAGTGGTTGTGGTTGCTTACGGTGATGATTCGTTGCAGTCTGCAATGAAGTGAAAGTCGATGCCGACCTGGTCGCCGCAGCAGTGGGTGGTGTCGTCAGACAACAGGTCGCACTTGCCCGTCAGCAACACGTCGGGCGTCACGCACTCCTCAACACGGAGCGACAATTGCAGAGACGCAAACATGACACGGAAACCGAAACGAAACCTGATTGATGTAGACCGCATACATAGACAGGACAGACTGATGGATGGTGTATGTGTGCGTTGGTTGGTTGATGTGTGGATCTCAGTTTTCCGTTCCGTGTCGACCGACCTGTTTTCTCCAGGTACGGCGAGCTTGGCCTGTGTGATCCTGCCGGTGGACAAGCCCGTCAGCCACTTGGCCAGCACCTTCACTCCACCCTTGGTCCCCTCGTACAGCGGCCCACTCCCCAAACACGGAGACGGCGGCACGAGTGGGTCGGCCGAAGAAGCACCAGCGCCCGAGCTGAAGAAGGACCATAGCAGCGATCGGTGCGGTGTTGTTGGTGGCGGTGACGCAGCATCAGACGGTAATGGGAAGAGGGCCGTGATCTGCGAGGCGTTGCCGCTGCTGTCTGGGGTGCCAGGGATGAGTGAGAGTGTGGACGGGGAGGGGTGGCAGTCGCCCACTGTGGCCGGCAGAGTGGTGTTGATAGCTTGGTTGAGAGTCGGCAGCAAGGTCAGCAATTGGGCGTTCTGGCACAGCAAGTACAGTCAGCAACAAAGGAGCACACATATGCCTGCACATGAATGGGTGTGATTGCTTTATTTGTGTCCTCCTTCCTCACTAGGTGTGCCACATCGACTGACGGCACGTTGTTCCTGGCGGCCAGCACCAACACGGTAATGAGTGCCAGCGCCTTGAACAGCACCACGGGGTTCTTGAGCGACCGCCGGAAGTTCACCAGCCACACCCGAACCAGGAACCGACCGTAAGAGGACAGCCCACCACCACCGCCACCAGACAGCCCGTTGTCGCCCCCGCGAGACTCTGACGTAATTACAGACACCCCCGGCTGTGTGGGCAGGCTCTCAGACGCCTCCACTGTCGACGGCGGCTTCTCTGCCGGCGAAGGGGACGACTGCTCGTCATCTGGCCTCGCGTCAGCCCCCGCGATGGTGCCGCTTTTCTGCCTGGCCGGTGATGGGAGGGGGCTGGTGTGGATGTAGTCCCACTGGCGGGACACAGACATGGCCTCGGATGGCACCGGGGAGGGCGAGGGGAGGTGCTCCGACCCGTCGGCAGCCAGCAAGGGGGCCTGCATCGCCGCAATCTTGAGTGACCGAGACGACGGCCCCTGCGGCCACACGGGGTGCTGGAACGACCCATGTGGGCGAAAGGAGGTATCCATGGTGTGCATGTGGGAAAGGTCGACCAGCTCGAACGCGCAGATGCCGGCCATGAGTAGCATGTAGAAGCCGGACAGGGGGAGGGAAAGGGCTTGTGTGATGGGGAGTGGGGTAACGGCAGGGATCTTGGCCAGCAGCTGATCAAAGGCGTTGAACGCAAAATAGGCTGTCAGCAGCGATACCGCAAAGATGTCCTGATTGATCCACACACACACACACACACGCAGGTAAGTAGGTCATTCTGCCTCTGTCTGTCTGTCTGTCCGTCTGCCAGTCTGTCTGTGTCGTGACATATACCGACCGTCATGGCCCAGTCAAAGAAGAACCCCACCGCATATCTCAGTGGCCGCCTCCATGCCGGCACCACCTTCTGCAGTGCCGAGCAGAGGATGGCCAGCAAAGGCACCACCAGCACAAATGCGTTCACGATTGCCCACGACAGCACATAGCCGTGGCCCCACAGCTTCTTCAGCAGGCCCAGCACCGGCAGCCCGATTTGGTCCACGATCAAGCTCCCCTCAAACACCACCTGCACCACCAAAATGGGCGCGAACAGGGCCGCGGAGACGCCACATAGCCACAGCAAGCTGTTGCAGGCGAAAAGAAAGTTGGCAACCGAGAGAGGCATCGCATCAGGGGCAGAGAAAGTGTCTTTGGTCGCCTCATTCTCAGCAGCAGCGGCCGCAGCCACGGAGTCGCCATCCTTGCCCGCTCTCTTTTGTCTGAACTTTTCCACTCGCCAGCTGACAAGGTTGGTGAGAAGCTGAGTCGAGAGGATGGAGAGGGTGCAGAAAGCCGTGTAGAGGTAGAAGCCGATAAGGAAGGTCGTGTGGAAGATGTTGTGGTTGAGGAACCCCACTAGAAGGATGCACACGTAGACGTCGACAAACTGCGACTTGGCCACGTGCCGCAGCCGCGTCAGCCACCGCACTCCCAGAAGGTAGGCCGCCTCCTGCTCGTCCTTCATACCCTCCCCACGCTCAACCAGCGACGGCCGCCACTGAATCGACCGCCGCTGCTGCTGCTCTCTCCTTCCCCTGGCCTTCTTGAGAGCACTCGTGGGCGACCGGGGGGGCGACACTTCGCCCGAGGTCGCGTCAGACGCGTCAGCCAGCGACCCGCCCTCTTGCCACGTCTGGTGTTCCAGGTCTCCCTCATGCTGCCTCTCGTCTGGAGGCATGGGCACAGGCACGCCCACCACCGCCCCAGCAGCAATCGCATCCCTCTGAATGTACTGCTCGGACGTGAACAGCCTCTTCCGCCAGCAGATGAAGACACACGTGGTCAGGACAAGGAGCTTGACGATGGGCACGATGATTGAGAAGGTGACGATGAGCGTCAGGGGCACGTAGAATCCGTGTTGGAGGAACTCTTTGAGGCTGCCGATGGTCGAGCGAGTGACATCGAGCTCACCCACACCGAGAAATGACCCTTGCAGATGGACCACGGGGAATACCAGCCCCAGAGCCCACAGCACGTAAGACAACACTAGACGATGGCAAGGACAGACAGACAGACAGACAGATGCACAAAGAAGAATCAATTGCTGTGAGTGAGTGAAGCAGTGAATTAATGCATCATGCAGCTCACGTATGTACCGAAGAGCAGAAGAGTGAGTTGCAGTCCCGTCTTGTTCCAGTCTTTGGGCGCTTTCTGCAGGGCCGTGCTCTCCGTCTGCCGATGCCGAGCCATGTGGAAGCAGTCGAGTTGCACTCACTTACATCACATCGTCTTGTCCGATTTCAATGCATTCAACGGCGATGCAGCCCACACGGAGCGCAGCTTCTGGTTCCCTTTAAGCTCGCAGATAGTGCGAGCTTTGTAAAAGCATCTCAAGATCTCCCGCCAGCTCCCTCCCTGCATCCAGTGAGCGTACCAGCGATCACCTCGGTCGGAAGATCTGAGAGGTTTTGACTGCCCCGGCGACAGAGATCCAGACCCGAGTCTGTCGGTTCGGTCATGGGTGCGTGCTGCAGCAGGCAGGAGGAGCTCACGACTGAGGAGTACGAGCGGCGTGAGAGCCGCCTGCGGACAGCGCGACTGATCAAGGAGAGCGGCGCCAAGAAGAGCGCCAGCAAGGGGCGATACCCATACTACCTTGGCTCGCGCGTGAGTGTGGGGAGCATATGGGACCACTATGAGCCGCTCGACAAGGTCCTCGGGTAAGGCAGTCAGTCTGCCATGTAGATCCATCCATCGCATGACAGAAACAGACACACTGATCCTCTGCTCGTGTGTGTGTGTGCGCAGGGCAGGGTTCAGCGGTCCTGTGAAGCTGGTGAGGTCCAAGGGTGACGGCAAACAGTTCGCCGTCAAGTCTTTCAAGAAGAGCGGCGCCGACGAGGAGGCCATGACGATGCTCAAGAACGAGGCCATACTCTACCTCGACCTAGACCACCCCAACATAGCCCGACTCATCGACGTATTCGAGGTCAGCCAGCCACTCACTCACACAGGGACAGACAGACAGACAGACAGACAGACAGACAGAGGCGTGACGGCATCCAATCAGGCCCCTGAGTGTGTGTGTGCGTGTGTGTGTGTTCTCCGTCAACCAGGACGAGAACAATTTGTATTTGGTGATGGAGTACATGGCGGGCGGCATGCTGTACGATCGGCTCAGCAAGAAGAGAAACTACACCGAAAAGGACGCACAGAGAGCCACATACGAGATGCTCCTGGTGGGTGGGTGCGGGGCGTCAGTCAGTCAGTCACATCGGCACACGCAGAATCGTCATATCTGCGAGTGATGGATCCATCGATCTGCCCCTATGCTATGCTATGCGTGTGTGTATGTGCAGGCTGTGGCGTACCTGCACCACCGGAAGATCATCCACCGCGACCTCAAGCTGGAGAACTTCCTCTACGAGTCCAAAGAACCAGACGCAAAACTCAAGGCAAGTCAAGTGACGGCCGTCACATGGATCCAGGACACACACTAAAGTGTGTGGAGAGCGTCTGTAGGAGAGATGTGTGTGTGTGTGGTTCATTGTGTCTGCAGTTGATCGACTTTGGGTTCAGCAAGCGCTACCTGGACCTGCGCCCATCGGACACGATGCAGATCGTCGGCACTCTCTACTACCTGGCGCCAGAAACACTCAGAGGCGACTACGCGACGGGTGACTACACAGACGCACACACACAATCATGGGCGCCTGGCTGGCTGCCTAACCCTGGTTGTTTGTTTGTTTGTGTGTGGTGTGGTGTGTGGGTGTGTATGTTGGTATGGTGTGTCTGTTGTGTAGCTGTGGACATGTGGGCGATGGGTGTGATTGTGTACATGCTGCTGGCGGGTGTCCCGCCCTTCATCGGCGAAAGCAAGAAGGAGACCCTCAAACTCATCAGACAAGGCGCATACTCCATGAGATCCTCAATGTAACTTAGTAACAAAACACCCCTCTCCTCCTTACACGCCATTGGTTCTCTCTCTCTCTCTCTCTCTCTCTCTGTCCGTCCCTCTGTGTGTGTGGTTCATTCAGATGGAAGTCAGTGAGTTTCGAGGCCAAGGACTTCGTCCGCAAGTGTCTCAGCATGGACCCCACCCGCCGCATGACCGCCAAGCAGGCCCTCAAGCACCCCTGGATGGCCACCATGTCGCGCCACGACCTCAAGCGTGTCGAGAGCGTCGACGCCGACAACGCAGCGGCTCCTGGCGGCGAACTCAAGAACGCCCTGCAGGCCATCAAAAAGTGAGCGGAGCGAGGGACACAGACAGACAGATAGAGGGACGGAGGGAGGGAGGGAGAGTGTGTGGATGGTGTGTGGCCTGTCTGTCTGTCGTCAGTTTTTCGGGCATGAAGCGGTTGAAGCGTGCGTGCATGACGGTCATGGCCTACGCGCTGACGTCGGATGAGATCGACGAAGTGCGCAACCTCTTCTTCGCCTTCGACAAAGGGAGTGAGTGACCTCCACCCACCACTTATATATTCCTTGCAGAGAGGCAGGTGCACCGCATACAGCTGTGGATGTGGCTGTGTGGATGTGCGTGTGAATGTCTCTGTGCTGTCCCCAGAGACGGGCACCATCACCTTGGAAGACTTCAAGTCGGTGTGTCTCGAGCACCTCAAGATCTCAGACGAAGAGATCGAACAAATATTCGAGTACACACACACACACACACACACACAGAGAGAGAGAGAGAGAGAGATAGCACTCCATCCACCGAACACATTAGTGCATTCCCCTTTCTGGGTGTGAGTGTCGATCCTACAGCGCATTGGACGACACGGGTGACAACGAGATAGAGTACACCGAGTTCATCGCCGCCATGCTTTACACACGCGTCAAGCTGCACGAGGGGGCCGTCAAGCGCCTCTTCCGCAAGTTCGATCTCGACGGCAGCGGCACCATCTCGGCCGAGGAGCTCAAACACGTCCTGGGCGAAGGATTCAAGGTCAGACACACGGTGGTCGACACAACACACCACTCCAATACCCCACACACACGCGAGAGACGCACGTGTGGCTTTGCGTGTGTGTGTGTGTGTGTGTGCAGGGTGACATCGAGGCGTTGATCAGCAGTTTCGACAAGGACGGCAACGGCACGATAGACTACAACGAGTTCCTGCAGGGTATCGAGGACAACACCGAGGCACAGGCCGCCATGACCGCAATCGTTGACAAGGAGGTAACCTACACACACTCATAGACCAGACCCACCCACTGCACTGCACGAGTGCACATCCCCTCTCCCCATTTCTGTACGTACAGGTCAACGAGGCCCCGCCCGATGCCTCGATGCGCGACATCTGTGGCATCACGCGCAAGAGCCGAACCCTCTCCTTCCGTGACCGTGAGAACGGCCGCGAGCACGACTACGAGGACACCGAGACCACCGCCCGATCGACCCGGCGCAACCTCACCCTCCCAGCCAACAGCGGGCGGGCCACCGCGGCCGAGGTGGAGCGGCTCGTGCAGAGCACCCCGGCGGATGGCGACACCGGCAAGGCACCGTCCTTACTGGGGGACGACAATGTGTCTTCGTCGCTGCCTGGGTCGATGGTGGTGGAGACGGGGACCAACCTGAATGTGTCGCCGAGAACCGAGGGGACACTCGGCAGCCTTGGGAGTGTGTAGAGTAGAGTAGACAGGTGGCAGAGGGGGAGGGAGGGATGGATGGAGGGTGGGGAGGGTGTGGTGTGGTGTGGTACGTTGCGTTGCGTTGCGTGGTATTTGTCCTTTATAGTACACACACGATGATACAAGCAATACATCCTGGCTGGGCTGGGCTGGCTGGGTGCACTATATACACAACACATGACCGTCATTTCTTCTTCTTGTCTTTCATCGTGCGTATCACGTCATGTCATTCATGTGACGCCACCCCCTCATTGACTTCATGTCTCATCGGCCGGCCCGTTGTTTTGTGCTACATACATGTGGCTGCGTGTCCGGGCGGGCGATTGTGTGGGTTGGGTGCCGATCGATGGATGTGTACAGTGAGTGAATGAATCAATCAATGGCCCTCCTGCTTTACTACTGCGACTTTGCTTGCTTACTGCGAGGCGAGGCGGGGCGAGGCGAGGCGTGTGTGCATGTAGAGTGCGTAGGTTGTCCTTTATTTATTTCAGATTCCCCTCCCCATGTGTGTGGTGTGGTGGATGGGGTGAGGCATGCATGGCATGGCATGCACGGCATGGGCGGTCTTTTTACATGTACACGATCGAGCGTATGGTAAGTGGGTGGGTAGGTGTCTGTGTGCGTAACAAAGACAGACGCTTTTAAGCAAACAATGATGGACTGCGTGAGTGACGAAGGGGCGCCCCGCGCGAGAGAGGGGAGGGGGGCTGGGCTCGTTGCTTTTATTATGAATGATGAGCTTATGGTGAGTCCGCTGGTTCTGGCTTGGCGTCTCGTGGTAGACTGGTCGCTGGCTGGCTGGCTGGCTGGTTGGCTGGTTGAACGATTGAGGGCTTTACCGCTCACTCACTGCACCCCCGGTGGGGGCATATGCATGTTGGTAGCTAGGTGGATGCAGCAGTAGCCGCGGCAGGCAGGCAGGGATGTAGTAAGGTACGTGACATTGGGTGGGTGACGATGGGCAGGCAGAGGCAGCAAGTGTGTGGGGGGGATCGCAATGGCTTGTCCGTCTCCGTTCCATGTCAGCTGTCGGATTGCCTGAATGGAGGGTCTCCGTCAGGTTGGCATCCCCATCCTGACGGAGACCCATCACTGCGGCCAGGCCGACAGATGGCATGAACAGAAAAAGAAGCGACGACGGGAGATGAAGGTGCATGAAGCGTGCTGAGAAGCGCACGCACAGCGTCTGTTTGTCTGTCTGTCTGTCGTGCTGTTTGTTGGTGTTGGTGTGTGTTGATGCTTGTACTGACTGACTGACTGACTGACTAACACCTGTCTGCGTCTCTGTGGATGGATGGATCTGTGTGGCTGATGGACATGTAAGTATGCACACCGGACGGACCTGGCCTCATTCATCAATTGCAGTTCGTCCAACTCTCGCACGTCCACGGCCACGCCATCCACCCATCCCACCAGTCGGTGCAGACAGACAGACACATGTGTCTCGCTGGGAAAACAACTTCACAGACAGACATGCACACCTGCCTGCAGACCAGACCAGTGTGCCTATCAAGTATGTAGAATACACGGACATACAAGTCCACTCTTAGTTCTCGTCTGCCAGTTATGAGGGCCCTTGTTGTTGCGTTGCGGTGGCGGCAACTAAACTGACCAAAGCGCCCTCCGCGCCTGCCTGCCTCCTGCCTGTGTGACCTTGTTGTAATGAAGCCACAACCAACTAGCTTGAAAGAAAAACACACGGACACACAGATGCCATCCAAACCAAGGTAGGTATTTGTTGTACACCACCACCAATCCATCGATCCACACACACATCGTCAGTCAGTCACCTTGTGACGTCACACACCACACAAGGCGGGCGGGAATTTCAGCTCACCCACCTCACTCACCACAGCCGGCCAGCCGACCCGACCCACATACATGAAAAATCAGTCAATCACCCAACAACACGTCTGTCGCGTATGTGTGCCTCCATCCATCCATCCATCCATCTCTTGTCCGTCGGTCCATCGGCCACTCCAATACATACTTACTGATTTACTTCAGACGCCTTCCTCCTCCTGATCATCTGAGTTCCTCGACTTGCTCCTCCCTCATGGCAGCCCGCGACCGTTTTACCCCCCGCATGGCCGCCTCCTCCTCGGCTGAAGGCGCCGCAAACATGTCGTCATCCGACGACACACCGTGGCGAGGCACCACACCCGCACCCGCAGCAGCGGCAGCAGCAGGAGCACCAGCAGCCACGGAGCGAGACCCGCGACGCTCGTATGCAGCGGCCGCGATGTCCGGTGTGTTGGGGGATGGTGGGATCGGCTTGGGTGGCTGGTCCTCAGCGGCTAACGGTGCTGGCGGCCTGCCCCTGCTGCTGCTCATCTTGGCTGCGATGGTGTCGCAGATGGCGTCGACGCCCTGGTCGAATCGGCAGCCCACTGGGAGGGCGGTCTTGGTGAGGCCCTCCAGGCCGTCCATGAAACGGCGGGCCATGGTGTGGACGGCACACGACAGCCGCACACGAGACGCCAGCAGGGAGCTCACGGCAAGGTCAGACGGACGGGAGCCCTCAGCCTGTGTGACAGACACATACCATACACACATCCATCCCATCCACCTGTATGCATGTTTTGGTGTTGGCGCACTCTAGTGCAGTGCGTCAAAGTGAGGGTACCTACCAGTGCGTTTGCGATGAAGTGGGATCTGTGTCTGATGATCTTGGCGATCAGGTTGGCGCTCGACAGGTAGCTGTGTGGCGTGGGCGGCAGGTGGCGCACCCACCCCCCGCCCTGCAGATGCTGCCGGATCATGTCCACCTCATCGCGCGGCAGGTCCGTCCCGTAGCGGTAGAGGGTGCTGCTGCTGTGGCGCACCCACCCCCCGCCCTGCAGATGCTGCCGGATCATGTCCACCTCATCGCGCGGCAGGTCCGTCCCGTAGCGGTAGAGGGTGCTGCTGCTGGGCGCCAGGCACACGTAGTGGATGCCGTGCTTGCGCAAAAACTCGGGGGTGATGATCCACGGGCAGCACACCACCTGCACACAGCAAGCAAAGCATATTCACAGTGGGAGGGAAGGAGATGAACAGCTAGGTGATGGGGGCCTATCTATCGGTCTATTTGGCGATTTGCTGACCTTATCCACTCCTTTAATCTGCCTGAGCGCGTCAGCCCTCTGCTGGCGGCTCAGCACGGGCGGGGCGCCGGTGAAGGCCTCCGTTTCCGCGTCCGATGTGACCCCCACAGTGAGGTGCGCGTACCCGTATTCCTCCCGCGCCCTCTGAAACGCCTCCATGTCGCCGGCGTGGACGAAATCAAACACCCCATCCATGTACAGGTGCACGGGCTGGAGCGAAGACATGCCGTCGGGCACATCACGCCGGTATCGCTTGGCCACAGTCTCGTCAACATCTACTCCACCTGCTGATGCTGATGCTGCCATCGTCTACCTTCAGCTGTAAAGCGATAAACCTTTCGCGTTTTTTGCGAGCTCTTGCTGCACCATCTTGCGAGCTCTTGCGAGAAAAGAAGGCATTTCGGCCGTCTGCTGCAGTGCTGTGAGCCTCGTCTGTCGCCAAATCTGCCGCCTTAGCCCTCGCCAACATGTTCGGCAGCATTGCGTCGAGGGTGATCCCCCGCAGCATGGCGCTGCCGTCGTGCAGCCGCTCATTCCAGCTCGGATCATTCTCCATGGCGTAAGCAATACAGACGGCCACCAGATCAGGCAGCGATGAAGGAGGTCTCTGTCTCCCTCTGCATCTGTGCTGTGGTTGTGTGTGGATGTGTGTGTGTATCAGTCACACGCTGGTGTGCCGTAAGTTCTCAACGTCCCCGATGTTTCAGAAGCCCCTCACGCAGCCCCAGCCATCCACACAGCCACGGGCACTCAGCCTCAACAACAACTGTACCGTCACAAACACAGACAGAAACACGCCACACACAGGCAACAACCATCCGCTCACTCACCATGTTGTTCTTTCTGTTCTGTGTGCCTTGGTGCAGGCGGGCTGACCCCTCTGAGCCAGAGCAAGGTGTTGGCGTTGACCCTCCACCATCCATCGGGCGGCTGCACGGCCCTGCAGGTGCGTCACGAGGCCGGCGTGGCCACTCTGGGTGCGGCCATCGCCCTGATGGCAGTGGGCGGCGTGGCGCAAGGTATCGGCAGCCTGTTCGCGGCCCTGGTGAGCGGCACGGCGCGCAATCCGTCGATCAAGGAGGACCTCTTCACCTACACCCTCATCGGTATGGGCTTCCTGGAGTTCCTCGGCATTGTCGTCGTACTCATGGCCGCACTCCTCCTCTACTCCTAGATGGAGCAGAGGGAGGCAAGCCGTCAATGGGTGCATTGCCTGCGTGTGTGGATGGATGAAGAGTTGCTGGGCTGAGATTGGGTGTAGGGCGTTTAAATGCTCGCTGTTGTGTTGGTGAGGGTTGTGTTGGTTTTTTCCTTGTGTTGGGGGGGGGGAAGGGGGGATGGACAAGACATAATCGAGCAAGGCCTTGAAGCGTGGTCGTCTCCTGCTTTATGTCATGCAGCAGCTTGGTATAGGCCTCTATGAGCTTACGTCTGTTGCCCGTAGAGGTCCGTATCAAGCTTGGCGACGCTGAACATAAAGCAGGAGATGACACACGCCAGGCAGACATACCATCGTAGGAGCAGTTTTGGTGCAGGCTGGGCGAGGCTGCAACGGACCCGGTGCACGTCTTCCGTTCGTTGTGCTCATGTGAGTTTCATCCATGTGTGTGTGTGTGTGTGTATGTGCGTGTGCGTGTGCGAAGGGAGTAGGAGAATGCACTCCCACTCAGCCCTTCTTCACCTCAGACAGACAGACAGACAGACAGGCAGCAGCAGAGAGGCAAAGAGGCAGACAGGGATCATCAGACAAGACAGACAGACAGGCAGTTGCCGCGATTCGTGCACTGACTGTACTTGCTGGCCGACAAGACCGATGAGTGAGTGAGTGAGTGGACTGACTGATGACCGACCGACTGATGCATCATATCGTCGAGTGAATCATGATTTGTCAACCAACATTGGTCAATCAATACACACACATCATCACATCCGCCTGGCCTGGACGCAGGCAGGGCGTGGTGTCATGCAAAACGCGACAGACACGAAAGCCTCGACTGACTCATCCACCCACCCACCCACAAATACGTCTCAAAGTCGAAACAAAGCACCTCGTCAGAGCCCAAGATAACGAGTTCCCATCCACCCACACACACATGGATGCAGCAACAAGGACACAATCCTTTTGTCACTGTTCGTCATCGCGATGGTCCCACACAGCCGGCGGCGAGCTGAGAGGGGGTCCTGTCCAGTGCTTATCACCCTGACAGACAGACAGACAGACAGACAGACAAACCACAGGCAGGCCAACCAATTGTAGATGTATACGGAATGGCAATAACCACAAATACATAGAGATGGACGCGTAGGCACGCCCCGACCTGCAGGCCGTTGCTGTTACGATGGGGCCGCATGATTGGCGGTGATGGTGGCCGGTCCATCGAGGCCAGGTCAGTGCCCGCCGACGGAGATGGGGGCCGGGCTGGCGACCGAATGCCGCCATATGACGACCAGGCAGAGGGAAACGGTGGGGACCTCTGCTGCGAAGGGTAGGGGAGAAAGGGGATCGGTGGGGGTCGCTGGGGCGACAGCGATGGGAAGCACTCGTGCTGGTGTCTTGGGCGGTCCAAGTGCTGACACCAGGGGGAGCAGTAGAAGACCCGCTGGCAGAACGGACACACGAGCTCCGCCGGCCGATCACACACGCGACACCACTCCATGCCCTCAGGGTCGTTGCGTGACCTCGGGAAGGTCAGAGGTACGTCCATTGGCTGCTGTGTCGGCCGCTCAACAGTCCTCCTGGGCACTTGTGAGCAGACAGCCCGGTGCGTGGCCCAGTCTCGGTGCTGGCACTCCTTGGAGCAGTAGAAGACGGCCTTGCACCCGCCACACAAGTGGTCGCACAGCCGTCCGCAGTGGGCACACGGCCCGCAGGCAGAGGGCATCACTGCCACGCCCATCCGCCCCTCCGACGGTCTGCGCTTCGACGGCCGTTTCTTGGAGCAGAAGATGCGGTGGTGCGGCCAGTCGTGGGATTGGCACTCGAGGGAACAGTACACCTCCCTCTCACAACCTCCACACAGCCGCCGAGCAGGCCGTCCGCACCACCCACACACACCGCCCTGGCCCTCTGCCACCTGCCGCTCGGCCGTCGGTGGCGGCCCGGCCCCAGCCCCACCATCTGTGTCGTCGGATGGGTAGTCTTGTGTGCGGCGCAGGGAGGGAGGGGGCGCCTGCAACCCCCGACACACCTGCCGGTGCGTCAGCCAGTGCTCCTTCTCGCATGTCGGGCCGCAGTAGGACACCGCGCGGCATCCGCCGCAGAGAGTGGTTGCGTGCCGACCGCACACGATGCATCGGGCAGCGGGGATGCGGCGAGACGACGGGGCGCGGAATGCCCTGCGTATGCCTTGGCCGTCGGAATCATCCTCGTCTGGTGTGGCGGATGAGGGTTCGCCCAGCGGCCCGGGGCCGGTGGAGTGCCTCAGCCTCCGTCTGAGTCGCTCGCAGTGCCTGCGGTGGCTGAGCCAGTCCTTCTTCTGGCAGCTGGCGGAGCAGTACACGACGCTCTCACACCGACCACAGACCTTGTCGGCCGGCCGACGACACACCGAACAAGTCCCAAAGACCCCTCCCCTCTCATCCTGGGCTGGTGCCGCCTCTGCTGCCGGCTGCTGCTGTGGCTGTGGCTGTAGCTGTGGCTGCTGCTGCTTGACAGGGTAGATGACGGTGTGTGGGTCTGCAGCCTGACGGCTGCATCCCTCGCTACACCCTGAACCGACGAAGGGCGTGGGGGCGTATCGCCTCTCGGGCGGCTCCTTCGGTGCGGCTTGAGTGGGGTGCTGGAAGGGGGGAGGGAGCCATGCCTGTGTTGGCTGCTGTTGCGGTGCTGGCGGCAAGGGCGAGGAAGGAGAAATAGGAGTGACCGGTCTCTCCCTCTCCTCGCTCACAGTGGGAGGCTGCTCTGCCGTCGGCTGTGTCGGCTCTTCTGCCTTGTCCGGTGCCTTCTTGATCTGCCTGACCGGCTTGCAGATCTTCTTGTGATTGGGCCAGTCCTTCATCTGGCACTCGGGGGAGCAGCTGAACACACAAACAAACAGCAGACCATTTGACAAAGCAGGCAATCCTGTCCTGTCCACCAGGGCTTCTCTGCTCGTCCGCGTGTCCCGTCACTTACTAGAAGGTCGTCTTGCACGTGGAGCAGACATCGTCAGCCGGCTGGCCGCACACCACACAGGGGGCCGTGTCGGGCAGCGTGGCGGCGTCGAACTCGTAGACGTCTCCCGCCTTGGCCGCCTGCATGCCCGGCAGGCTCGAACGCCTTTCCTCTCGCCGCTTCGCCTTGGCCGAGGGCGGTGGATGCGCTGGGGGCTTGCCCTTGCCGCTGGTTGGACGCTCATGCGGGTCATGGGAGGGCCGCAATGCCGTCAGCTCTTCAGCTGAATCCGGGGCCGTGCTCATCCTGGTCCAGTCCTTCTGAGGTCACGAATCAGCTTGCTTTTTTTTCAACGGCAAAACCAACGACAATTCGGGGGGTTTCACGGAGTCCGAGTTGCGACAAGCTAAGGCTCGGTAGCCTGCCTGGCTTCCAGCGGCAATCGTCTTACAGCGGTAAGCTCGTCACACGAAGGGAGGGGGAGAGAGGGAACGAAGGAAGTCTTAGAGGGAGCACACAGAAATTCACACAGAGGGAGGGAATGCGCAGCATTCATCGACGCAGGACTGTCCTCTCTCTCCTTGGCTCTCAGGTAACTCCCATCGAGGCATCGTAGCGTAGCAAATCATCGTATCGTCACGATGGCGGCAGCAGCTGCATCAGCATCAGCATCAGCAGCGGCTGGCAGTGGCAGTGGCAGTGGCTCTGCGCCGTTGTTCACCACAGCGCAGCTGAATGACAAGACCTTCTACCGGTCCCGCAGCCGTGCGGACAAGAGCCTGTTCCTGGAGCAGAAGTTCTACGAGAAGGTGCAGCAGGGCAAGGGTGGGATGGATGCGATGGGCGAGTGCAACCAGTGGCTGGGCCGGGACAAGGTGAAGCAGCGGGTCGGGACGCCCCACCTGGACATCCCGCCCGGCAAGATTTTCCTCTACCGCGGCAACCTCTGCGTCAACGGGCTGCACCCCCTCCCCATCAATGGCATCGGGACTGACAAACTCGAGGTAAAACGGTCAGCTGAGCTGGGAGGGAGGGCACTCACTGAGGGAGGGAGGGATGGAGGGGGAATGGGATGAATGACAACTCACTCACCCTGGTGGGGTGCGATGTGTTGTTGGTTGTCCGTTCTCATCCTTAGGATGGCACGATAGTCGGCAACGCCATTGTGGTGAGCGAGCAACACCACACAATTAATTGCACAGCCCCTCAACATAAAGCACGATGTGTGTGTGTGTGTGTGTGTGTGTGTGCCAGGTGAATGGTGGGTACGATGACGATGTCGACCTGGGTCGGCGGCTGTACTACGTGGGCGAGGGTGGCGAGAAGAGCGGCAACGACCAGGAGCTCAGCAGTAGGGGCAACAAGGCCCTCCAGCAGTCATACGCACACGACCTCCCCGTACGCGTCCTCCGCGGCTACAAGGCGCCATCGGCATTCGCTCCCAACTGGTCCGTCAGTCAGCAGGGGGGCACCCACACACACACACAACACTAAGAACGGAGGCTCTGTGTACATGGCGGGTCATGCATCTATGCATCTGTGTGTGTGTGTGTGTGCAGGGGGTTCCGCTACGACGGTCTGTACAAGATCACGGCCACGTACTCGACCATGGGGCAGAAGCGCAACCGCGTGTGGATGGTAAGCCACGCCAGCCAAACACACTCACACTCACACTCACACTCACAGACACACACACACACATGTACTGTATGCTGCGCATTCATTCATCCCTCCATCCGTCCATCTGCATGTCATGTGTCTGTGTGGTTGTGTGGTTGTGTGGGTGGTCCATCCCATCCAGTATGTGATGGAGTCGATGGAGCAGGGCTACACCCCTCCCCGCAACGACCTCTCCCTCCCCGGCCCCGAGCTTCCCCCCAAGGTCCGCTCCACCGCGCAGAACCACGCCAGCCAACGCGCCAAGATCCAGAAGGGCCTGGCACCAGTCAAGAAGCGAGACCTGCAGGTCCTCATCCCACGCAAGGACGGCAAAGGCAAGTACCACAACGCCAAGGTCTCCCTCATCGTCCTCGACACATTCGCACAGCTGCTGGGCAAGCTCAGGGCACTCGCGCGGAGGAACAACTCACCGGAGGCGCTGCAGTGGCTCGCTAAGGTCGAGTCGGCGTGGGGAGGGGGAGAGGGGGAGGGGCAGGGAGGTGGGGAGGGTGCGGGTGGTGGTGGTGGTGTGGACCCCCACGCGGCCCTGCTGCGGCGCCACCGCGTGTATCCGTACCAGCTGCAGCTCAAGTATCCGGACGGGCTCATGGAGTTGATCCCGATCACCGAGGGCCTGGCCGACAACATCGTGGACCCGTACCTCCCCAACCACCAGACGCCCACCGGCCTGCCCGCCCGCACACCCATGACGGTCGCCATCGTCATGGACCTGCCGCTGGCCGGCTGGGATCCCCGTGCTGACGTGTCGCAGGGGCGGGAGGCCTTGCCGGTGCCGTGCATCAACACAGTGGACGACGAGCTGCCCCCGACCACCTTCACATACATCCCCGAGTGTGTGGCCTTCACCAAGATGCCCGACATGGTGTTTGAGGAGGTGTGCTGCGGGTGTGCGCCGGAGGGGGCCGACGAGGACCCTGACAAGAGCCGCTTTGTGTAAGTCTTGAACACACGAGGGCGGGAGGGAGGGATGGATTGATGGAGGGAGGGGCGAAGGGTGTATTGTGTTGGTGTGTGTGGTGTGGTGTGTTGGTGTGCGGTGTGTGCAGGAATCGCAAGGGCTACCGTGCTGATGACGGTTCGGTGAGGTGTTTGGGCTGCAATCTGGAGGCGATCGACTACTCCAAGTTCTGCGCCGAGTGCTCGGCCAAGTGCCCGTGCGACCCCAACACATGCACCAACCGGTGCGAACGAACAGTGCACACGCACATCACATCACGCACACAAGACAGACACACGGGCCCTTAACACTAACACCCTTCGCCCTTCGTGTGCCTTGTTCTCCTTTTCACAGTCACTACAGCCCTGGCATTCAGTACCGCGTTGCCGTCCGCAAGACGACGGACAAGGGGTGGGAGCTCGCTGCTCAGGTACCACCACAGCCCACCACAGCCAGCAAACACACACATGCCTCCCCTCACTCATTGCAATGTCATGTGTTTGATGGTCGGTCAGGAGGCGATCCCCTCGGGTCAGTACGTGTTGGAGTATGTGGGTGAGGTGGTGACGCACGGCGACGTCCAGTGCCGCGTGCAGCGCAACGAACACATGGGGCTCCTCAACTACGTCCTCGAGATGGTCACGCCAGACGACAACAGCGACTCGTGGAAGTACCCCTGCGTCGACTCGCTGCACATGGGCAACGCCTCGCGATTCATCAACCACTCCTGCAGACCCAATATGGACGTCAAGGTGAACTGACACTTGCTGTGACACACATGGATGTGTGGTGTGGAGTGGATGGATCAACGGTTGGAATGGATGGATGGGATGCGTGGATGCCTGCAGGTGGTATTCCGTGGCAGCATGGCCAACACGGTGCCAGTGCTGGGTTTCTTCACCAACCGCGACGTGGCCGCCAACGAGGCACTCACCTTCAGGTACGTACGCACGCACTCACTTCACCCACACGCCACACACAGGGGAGAAGGAAACTCCCTCTGTCCTGTCTGTTGCTAATGCTTAATTAACACCAGCTACGGCCCCCACTACGAGGACATGGCGTGCCGGTGCGGGCAGCCCGGCTGCCGCGGCACCATCACCGACGTGCAGGAGGACCAGCCCATGGACGGCGGCAACGCCCCCCGCCTCCCCCCACCCATCCGCCGCAACAACAACGCCAGAGGCGCCGTCATGCAGGACCCACCCACTAGCAACAGCAAGGGGCGGAGGGCATCGGGGGCTGTCCCCCCGCCACAGAAGAAGGCACGCACCGACAGGAGCCCACCGGCTGCTGCTGCTGCTGCGGCTGCCCCACCCCCTGCAGCTGCAGCTGCTGCAGCAGCAGCGAGTGGGACGGCCAGTGCCAGTGCCGCTGCTGCCGCAGCATGTGCATGTGCTAGTGGAAGGGCCACTGGTGCGTGAGTGATTGATTGGGGGAGGGAGGGAGGGATGGAGGGGGAGGGGGGGAGGGTGTTGGGTGGGGTGGGAGGCCATGATGTGAGGAAGGAAGGAAGGTAGGTCGGATTGCGGCATTGGTGGCTGGTTGAGTGAGAGGGGGCGAGGCGAGGCGAGGCGAGGTGGGGGTTGATATGTATGTCGTGGCGTGCTTTGGTATGTGATGTTTGTGTATGGAGGTGGGTGGATCCTCGCTCGTATATATATACGGGTCCCAGTAGACAGGGGGGTTACCTGCCTACCTGCCTGATTGAGCCACTCCCTCCCTGTTTGTGACTGACTGATGCTGGGATGGATGGTTGCTGCCCCATCCAGACATACGGATGGATATACAGGCTGGCTCACACGACAGGTAACAGGTGTGTGTGAGAGACATGGGTGTGGGTGACCACTCTCTCTCCTTGCTTCGCCTTTTTGCTTCCCTCTTTTGAATGAATGGGGCCGTGTGGGGGGAAATGGGATGCCCGTACGTATGCATCTGCACGTGGACTGACTGACACTCTCCTGCCTGTATTGGTGGCTGGTGTGATTGATGGTGTGATGGTGTGGTGGTGTGTTCAGTGCATGCCTGACTGACTGACTGACTGGCTGATCCGTCTTCGAGTCAATCGCATGTGTCAATTGATCTGATCGGCCGCTTGCTGTCCATCCATCGTCCACACGTGTGACACACAGCTAGGCAGGCAGGCAGGCCAAAGCGTCACAAGCCACAAGCGCCACGCACGCCAGCACATGGACGCGCTGTGACCAATAAACAGCCACACCCATCAGCCCGCTCGGACCTTCAAGCATGAGCCATGGTAGGCACATACAGACATGTCTGTCTCCTCATCAACTCATGAGTCTTCCTTCCGGTATGTATCCCACTCTATCGCTACTTAGCTAATGGTGTCCGCCGAGAACCCCCTACTCTTCCGCACAGTCGCCTCCGCCAGCGCCCCCAGCTCGTAATACAGCCGGTTCACCCCCTCCTCCCCCACACGGCACCGCACACCCTCCCTCACAGTGTCCTCCAGCCCAACACCCCACCCCACTGCATCTGTCCCATGTGTGGCCAGCAGCTCGTATGTGAGCGTCTTGGTGATCTCGTCGGCTGCATAGTTGGCCGCGGCGGTCTCCCTGCGCTCTTCCTCTGTCTGCTGGTCGTCGAGTATGTCGTGTCCTGATGCGATGATGGACTGGCGTGTCTTGAATGGCTTGAGGTCGACATCGCCGATGGAGCGGTGCTGTGTGTGGGAGAGGGCTGTGAGGACCTTGACCCAGTACTCGCGGTCGATCTCATTGACGTACAGCCAATACTCCGTGAGTGCGGCCCTTGTGACAGCCCCTGCTGTGGCGGCGACGCGCTTCAACAGACGCACCAACCGGATCATACGGTTCCTCGCAAAGCCAGCATCTGAAACACGCCCAGCCCACCAGACAGACCAAAGACACAGCCATCCACTGCACTGCTTGCACCGCATCGCAGCTTCGTGTGTCTTTTGCTTTTGTTTGTCGGACTGACTTACATGGCTGGTACTTGGGGTCAGCAAAGTCTGGCGTGATCTCGGCTTGTGCGTCGGTGTGGCGCCTGATGTCCCTCTGCACGGCGGCCTGGATGGCCCGAATGGCGTCCTTGAGCAGGTCGGCCTCCATCACCGCACCACGACCACCACGACCAGGAGAGCCGGTCGCGGGAGGACTGAATGAACCACACACAGATACACCCATCACGCCAGCCACAGAGGGTTTGCACACACACGGCCCGGGGGTGGTTGGTGTGGTGTTGTCTTACGTACGCTTGTTCCTTTGACTGCCTTGTCCGTGTGAGTTGTTCTATCTTCCACCCCAGTGCATCCGCAGCCTCATGCTGGTCGATGTGCGGCGGCAGCGCGAGCGACTGCAGGCAATAGACGCCCTCCAACGCCTCGTGATCAACTGACAGTTGACACACACATACAGGAGAGCACAGCACACACACAGACACGCGAGTCGAGTGCAATGAAGGGAGTGTTTGGTTTGGTGTGTGTGTGGCCATACCATACACTCACTCACCCATGGTTGCAGCACACTCGTCCAGCGCCTTGTGCGATGCCTCGATGTAGGTGCCTGCGACGGTGTCGTCCTCACCTCTGGTCAGCTGGCCCTTCAGCCTGAGGGCCACACACGCACAGACAGAAAGGGGTCAGAATTTGTCTGGCTGGCTGGCTGGCTGGCTGAAGAAGCAGGCGTAGCGTACTCTTCATCGAGAGGCTGCTCGTCAAGGGCCGTCCTGACACACACAGAACAGACAAGGCGGCCACACGTCTTGATCCAGTTAGTTCCCTAATGCAAAAGTACCAGCTGTTATGTGCGAAGAATCCCTGGCCCCTGCTGTCCTCCTTGGCCGCCTCCAGTGCCTGCAGCTTGACAATCGCCGCCCACAGCCACTCGCTCCCACCTCCAGCACTGTCGGCAAGGCTGGCGGCCTCCCTGAGCATGCCCACCTCGCTCTCCAGCACCAGCTGCTCCAAGAGCTGCGGATACACACAGGCCACCGTCCGCAGCAGCCTCTCGCGGTCATCCTCTCTGCTGTCTCGGATCTGCGCGAGCAGGCCGCGGGGGTCTCGTCGGCCGAACAGATGGATGACGGCCCGCGTGTGGCGGTATCTGAGTGCCAGGCCCCATGTGCCCGGCTTGCTGCCGTGGAAGACGGGATAGTCACCCGGGACACCCATGAGTGCCTCCTCAAGCGCGACCTCCAGGTCCTCACACGGGCGGATGAACCGCTCCTTCAGCTCCTCCAGTGCATTCTCGCCATCGCGGCGGATGGCCTGAGGGCTCTGCCGGAAGAGGTTGAGGACATGGTCGCTCAGATGCATGAGCGAGATGAGATACGTCTGCAGGGCCTCCCTTCGACCGTGGGCGTGTGCAGTGACCGCCCCCTCCCGGCGCAGCGTGGACACCATGGGTGAGTGGACGTCCGTGACCCTCTCGAGCGCCCGCCTCGCATCGCCCTCCACCAGCCATGGAGGGGCCAGGAAACCGTCGCTGAGAGGGAAGGCGCCGGCGCTCTCCGGCTCGCTGGCGAGGCCCAGCAGGTGGGCGATGGTGGCCCTCTTCTCTTGCACAAATGCCAGCAGCTCGTGCAGCACCATGTTGATCTCGGTGTACGCCTCGATTGAGGGCCCGTGTGTTGCGGCCGTGTTGGTGAGGTGTGTGGCGATGGCGGGCAGCACCCGGATGACGGCCTTGAGGCGGTGGAAGGGGCGTGTGGGGTCGGATGATGTGCCTGAGTGTTGGAGGATGGTGTCGAGCTGGGGGCGGGCGCTTCGCAGGTCCCACAGCTTGACGGCGAATGAGAGCTGCTCTAGATGGCGGGACAGCTCCAACCTGATGCCACACGAGGGCGAGAGAAAGGGATGGTGCAGACAGAAAAGCATCTGGTGTTAGTGTGCTGTGTGATGGTCGCTCACTTTGTTGAGGATGAGAGTTTGTTGAAGAGGCCTGTCTCCTTCAAGACCTGCACCAGCCCCTGGAGCAAATCACCCCGATCGTACAGGCCCCTCTTCACCTGACACACGCACCCACACACACACGCGGACACACAGACAAACCCACCCTGGATGCGATGCATCACATGCTCACAAGTGTGTGTAGGCACCTACTGTGTCGACATTTCCCAGGTGTTCCACAGCCTGCTGAATGAGCGGCCCCTTGACGGCCTCCCTCGCCTCCTCCGCCCACCCATTGGCCAGCACGTCCGCCACGCCCCTCACGGCGATCTCCACATCACCGATCCTCTCCGGGGCGCCCCAGGTGGTCTGCAGCTCCATCCTCTCGCCGCGCATCTCGCGCTGCCGCACCATCATGCCCTGCAGCACACAGCAGATGAGCTCCTCGCACTGAGCCGACCCTGCCGTGGATGCGAGTGCGCGCGGGGGCGAGGGGGTGGCTGCCGCGGGCATTGTGGGGGAGGGCGTCTCCCTGGCCGGCAGGACAGGCACTGAGTAGGGGGAGAACCGCTGCGGACGCTCACGCTGCTGCTGCTGCTGCTGCTGAAGGTGCCTGCGGGCCACCTCCTCTGTGTCCCTGCTGGTTTCTCTCCCTCTGTCTATGGCCGCCAGTGGCCTGCCGTAGAGAGAGTGCTCCTGCAGCAGGCCGACCATGCCCTTGCCGACCACATAGATGTCCTGCTGGATGGCCGCCGTCGCCAGAACCAGCTCGTTGGCAGGGTGAGTGGTCAAGTGGGGGCCGTGCAGCCCCCCACTCTGGTCGTCAGCGAGATGATACGTGTAGGTGACATAGTCGCCGACCTCGTGGACCACTGTGCTTGGGGCGGTGACGTGTACGCGGCCGGCCGTCCCGATGGCGGCCAGGTGGAAGAGGCCCAGGAGGGGCGGGAGGCTCATCGGAGGCTCGGGGGGCGGGGGCGGCTGGAGGGGCGCGGTGATGATGGCGAGGGGGTCGGTGTTTGTGATGGGCAGAGGGTGTGGCGTGAGGTCGGCGATCGTCACTGGCTCTCTCCACTGCACACCGGTGCTGGACAAGATACCCTGAACACACAAAACACAGGACGGGTTTGGGGTGCTTACCGTTGTGTTCAGGGCGTTCGTTGTCTCGTCTTTCACTCTCACTCACTGTTCGGATCAAGAGAGTGCGCTGCCAGTCGCCTCCGATCCTCACAGCCAGAACAACTATCGACGGTGGACCCCTGACACGACACACACAACGATACATACATACGATGCTCTCCACCAACTTGGTCTCGGCGCGCTTTGTGATGTGATTAATGATGCCGTACGTACGTAACGTACGGGTGTGTGAATGCCATTGCTATGGGCAGCAGTAGGGGATGGTCGTCTTGGAGACCCGCACACCACTCGCTCCGCCACAGCAACTGAATCCATCCATCCACGCAGGAACGCACCAAAGGCACAGCAGACGATGAACGAGATGAGCGGGCGGGAGATGGTGTGCATCCGTCAGGGCACTGACTTCATGGTCCCTCACTTCACTCACTCACTCACTCACCTTCTTGGCCCCTGTGAGGGAGTGGTGGTGCCACAGCTGGATGCTACTAGACGTCAAAACAGCGCAGGTGAAGTCCTCATGCCCATGCCTGTCAGGACACACACAAACACACAAACACACAAAGACATAAACACATGTGCATCTGTACTGCCCGTTGTTGCGTTTTGTTCGTTCAGACCTGGCGGTAACAGCGACTTGTGAGACCGTCTGATTCTGCTCGTCATCTCTCATGGGACCGGGGGTCTTGAACAGCCTGCTTAGACCCCAATTGACCACCCTGACGGGCGTCGAGGCTGCCGCGCTCGCAGCACTGTACGCCAAACCCTGCACACACACACGCACAGGATGCATCAAAGTGTGTGGTGCGGGCGGCGCGGTTGGCTCACGTATATGCCCCCCGGCGATGATGCCGATATGTCGTGTATCTTGTCGCCCGTCGACCACTCGTGGCTGAAGTGGAGTGAGGCCACCAGAGGGGCCGCGTCAGGGTCGATGGTCACTCGGACGGTGGCCATCCTGCCCGACAACATGGCCACCACAAACGTGGCCGTCCCCTGCTCGGACTCGCTGCCCACTCCAGCCACGAAGGCAGGTACGTCATGCTCTGAACGGAAACACACACATGCATCCCTTCACCCACTGACTGGCTGGCTTGGGTGGCTTGGCTTGCTCACCATCTTTCGCCAGGCTGATGACTGCAGATGCGTGCGAGGGGACGATGGTGCCGCAGACAGGATGGCTGTCGGGGATCTCGGTCAAGAAGGCCGTCAACTTCTCACCTGCACCGCGCCCATCAAACACACAGACAGGCAGACATGCATATCGACAACAGATACATACAAACACTTAGTTGGCATTCTTCTCGTGCTTCTCCCACCTGGTCTCGCCATGAGGGCCACCATCGTTCTGTGCGGCCTCCCACCTCCCTTGTCCACCACAATGGGGTACACACAGCTGGCGTCCGTCGACCTTCCGCCGCTCGCGCCGACCCCGATCTCCTCCCACCAGTGCAGCAGGTGCACGCCACTGGTGTCCCACACCGCCACCGACACGCCTGCACGATGCCGCATCTCAGGCACACACAGCCACGCCCACTTGCCTTCTGCCTCGATACGGGCGGCTCGATAAGCTCTGTGTCTGCTGCTGCCGTCCAAATCATAGTAGTGGCCGCTCTCGAAAGTCTTGGCGTCGATCCTGTTGAGCAGCACCTTTAGCTGCGGCGGCGGAGGCGGGTTCTGCGGCTGAACGACATTGTGGTTGACGAGGTTGCTGAACGGTGTTGTCTGCATCTCGGGAGAGGAGGCCATACACCATTCCGTGAAACCATAGCGATGGGGTGCCAGTGGGGGCTTGCGGCGTCTCCACTGGCATACGTCCCGTCCGGCTAGATTTCGAGGCAAATGCTGATTCCATTTCTTGGTGGCATCGCCACCCTCGTCGGATTGGCAACGGTCCCTTGCGTGGGTGATGCGCGTTTGGCCGTCTCAGAAAAGAAGAATGATGGCTTCCTCTTCTCCAAACAAAATGAGATGGGAAAAGGGTATCTCCTGTTCAGCGACATTGACGACACCATCATCTGTACGTATGCGTGCGGAAGGATGGACAAGTCCATACATCAGCTGGCTTGACCAATGCATACAGTACATGCAATGAATGCCATGAGGACTGTGCGGTGTGTGTGCAGGCAGCGGAGGTTCCTGGCCCAAAGGCACAGGTGTGGTGTGGGTGATTCCCCATTGCAGACAGACAAGGCAGTTACCCACGTGGCTTTGCATCGAATTCTCTTCTCTCCCTCTCTTTGTGTGTCAGACGATTTGTGCTACACCGATGAAGTGCATGGGAAGACACCATGGCCCCTCTGCACCCATCCATTGCCTGCCTGTGCGTGTGTGCGTGCAGGTGTACCCTGGCCTCATGCAGCTGTACCTCGAGCTTTCTGCCGGCCCCGACTTCGTCGCGCACCCTCCCTTCTTCCGTCTGGTATCGGCACGGCCAAAGATCACCGTTGGGGACCCCAAGGTGGGTGCAGTAGCATCAGGGCCATCAAAACGTGCATGCATCGGAATCCTTGTCTGTCTGTCTGTCTGTCTTTCTGTCTGTGACTGTGCAGAGCTTAGAGAAGAAATCCTGGAACAAGCTGTCCAACGCAACCGGTGAGAATGGGGGGCCGTCTGGCCGTCTGTATGTCTGTCTGTGTCGCTTTATGATGGCCGCACACGGAATGGATGGTCAAGAAAGGAAGGAAGGAATGGATGACACGCCAGCGACGTTTTTCGGTTTTGTTCATCTGTCTGTCTGTCTGTACGGGTGTGTCTGTTCTGTACGTGGCGTGGTGTGGGTGGATGCTGGCTGTGGTCATGTATGTATGCATCAAAGGGTTGCTCAACGGCCGCACTTGGGGCGTTGACGAGGATCGGTCCGGGTTTGGCAGGTTTGTGGACTTCTTTAGCACAGATTGGGCCGCGACGGCGGAGAGGAAGGCACAGAACATCATCAAAAGCTTGACCAAGCCAGGAGGCCATTACACTCAAGCCGGTGATGGCGCAAAAGGTCGGTGGGTGGCGCGAGTGGCGCCTAACTGCCTGCCTTGTCACACACACAGATATATAGGGGGCGGGGCAGACAGACACCGATGACCTTTCTCTGTCTGTTGTGTGGCCACAGGCTACATTTGGATAGGAGACAGTGGCCAGGGTGACTTTCTGACCGGACTCAACCTGATGCACAACCCCGACGTGGAGGACCCTGCATACGTGCTCATCCACAACCTCGAGTCCAACAAGGAAAGCCATCAGCCAGATCTCGCCACACTTCCTGACAGCCAAAGAGACAAGTTCATCTTCTACACCAGGTGAGTGAGAATGATACCAACAGCGCCGACGTAACGCACCCCCTCTGTGTCTCTCGGTGTGTGTGTGTGTGTCTCCCCGCCACCACACATGTGCCAGCATAAAGCAGCTGGCTCACGTTCTACTGAAGAGAGGTGCCATCACGGAAGCAGCCCGGGACCGTGTCAACAAGGCTATTCAGAATTCAGCCATCTATCGCCTCTGCCAGACGGCCGATGGCGCCTACCCCTGCCCCACAGACTTGGACCCTACCGAGGCCTCGGCCTTCCACAAACTTGACCAGACGGTCAAGTTTGACGCCGACAATTGCGATGACAGATCGGCCTTCAAGGTGTCCAAGTATGCTCGCAAGTTTGGACACCTTAAAGGAAAACACATGGAGCGCTGCGCGCTGTTGAATTCGACGAGTGATGATGAGGTGTGGTGATGGATGGACTGGATTCTGACTGAGAGCAAGGGGTACGGAGTACGGACGCGAGGACCGTTTATTTGAAAGAGGGATGGACAGGGAGACAGACATACCGGTCATGCATACCATACCTGCGTCCAATCTTCTCCCATGTCATATAGATGAGTTATTGGGAGGAGTGAAGGGGTCAAGTCGCCAAGTTAGCTAGCTAGTTCCTTACTGTCGTGTCCCTTGATCAGGCTCCTTCCTTTGAGCTCCCCCATCAGGCATGCCGTGCCGTGCACACTGACTCATTCACTAACACACGAACACGTCACGTGCGACAGTAGGCAGGCAGGCCCTTTGATCTGTCGGTTGACCTTCTCTTAGCTAGCACGGACATGCACACACACACACACACACAGACGAGGCTGCCCCAGTGCTGGCGCCGCGCCATTCATCATCATCTACCCAGGTAGGTACTGTATCTAGCTACCAGCTGAACACTTCATTAATGATCACAGCACACAGGGCCGTCGGACACGGAGATACACAGACAGACCTGTGGGGAAAGCGCACGATGAATGCAGCACAACAGCACAGCCAGGGAGGGAGGGAGGGATCCACGCGGTCATGCACATGTGTCTGTCATTCAGCTCGTACGCACCTGAGACGACGAGCGTCCATCCCCGCGTGGCCACCCACACATCATCCGCCTTCCGTCTCTCTATCTGCGCGGTGGCGGGCCGCTGTATGTTTCGTGTCTGTGTGTGTGACACTGTGTGTGTGCAGAATGTTTCTGAGTGGGTCTGCCTATGCGATGATCCTTCATGCGTGCGCTGGCTCGCCAAAAAGAAACGCTACTCAGTCAGTCTGTCGTCTACCCAGTCAGTCGGTCGCCTCGCCCAAAGCGAGATAGGCGGGCCCTCCCTCGCCGTAGTGACACATATGGTATACGTGGGCGTGGAAACATTGCTTGTGTGGTGCATGTGGTCAGAGGAGGAGACATGGCACGCGTCACGCCCCGTGTGCTTCTTCTTCCTGCCTCTCCCGTGCATTTGCCCATGTATCCTCGTGCGTAGGTACGCAGGCAGGCAGAGGACAGCCAGCCAAGTTACATACTTGCGCGGGGTAAGCATATTTTTATGTAACTCTGTGTACTCAACTAACTAATCGTCTCTGGCCGTCTGGCCGTCTGTCTGTGTGTCTCCCATTTTCCGTGCAGATGTCTCATACATCCATCACTGCCCGCACACGGATGCCCCGAAGCACCCTCGCACACACGCACCACTGACCACCCCCACCCTCCATCCCGCTGCACGATGCACTACTCCAACCACTTGCAGTGAAGCACTCCGGCAAGCTGTACACGTCACTGTAGCTATACACTCCATCAACGCCACCACCACCACCACCACCAGCGGCAGCAGGTGTGGCTGACCACGCCGCTCCCCGCCTCATCTCATGCTCAGCTGACAGCAAGTCGTTGACCGATCGCCGCCTCTCACCCCATTCGTGTGTGGGTGCCGCAGAAGCATCAGCTGGTGGTTCTCCTGATGCCCGTGGGCTGACACGGTGGCGAGCAAGGTCGGTGAAGGGGCCGCCAGCCTTGTTCGCGGCCAGCTGGGGAAACCTGACAGACACAGAACAAGGGTGGAAGGCCGTATGAACTTTCTTTCCATCGGTGTGGCTGACCTGAGCGCGTTCCACGACAGTCTCCTGATGGCGGCAGACGCCTCGCCCTTCGACTGCAGTGCCGTGTGCAGGCACATCAGCGTGGTGGCATCGAGCGGCAGCAGCAGTGCAGGGCTCTCAGCAAGCCGCGTCAGCACCGGCCGCAGTACCAGCCGCCGACAGTCCTGGGCAAGCTGCATCGTGCTCGAGAAATAGAGCTCCGCCAGCCACCCACTATGCTCTGCAGGGAGGTTTCCATGGAGGCCATCTAGTAGCCGCACCAGGTGGCTGCTCTCTGCCGCGGCCATGGCGAGCCATGGAGAGGGAAAGATGGGCATCAGCTCGTGGAGCCGGTGGATCACCGCCGATACGATCGACGCAAGGGCCTGCACCCACTGCAGCAAGGATTGTAGTTGGCTTGACTCTGCTGTCGTCAGGTGCAATTGGGAGGTGAGGCGTCCGATGCTGTCTTGGAGCGACGGGTGGGAGAGGGCCGTGAAGGCGACCTGGGTGGGAGAGAGGAAGACATAGCTCCTGACTGGTTCGTGTGGGTGTGCTGCCTGGCTCACCATCAGCAGTCGTTGGACATGGGCTTTGTTAAGGAGGGGTCCGTTCTCACTCAGGAAGACAGAGATGCTCTCCAGAGCCACTGACCCGCCCCACGCATCAACGGCACCAGCAGCAGCAGCAGTAGTGGGGGATGCCGCCACGTCAACATGGCCACTACCGTGCTGCATCAAGGGCGTGAGGGCGAACTCAAACACATCGATCGCCTCGTCGACTGTCCGCCATTGGTGGGGCTGAACGAACGCACCACCCTATCCCCTCAATAATATGTTCACATGTATCTCTGCAGATATCCTCCCTCACCGTTTGGTCGTTGAGTCGGTCCACAATCCAGGCCCTGGTGCCGTCCAAGCGGCGCCTCATGGCATCCATCGGACCGTCATCGCCACCGCCCCCACCCACCCTCCCCAGCCGCCCGGCCATCACCCTCGCGTATCGACATGCCTCTCGCAGCCCCACACCCTCGCTCTGGAATACGGGGGACTCTCCTTGCTGAGGCTGTGCACCATTGCCGCCGTCTGGTGGGAGCCTGAGGTAGGTGGCCATCCGGCGGTCGAGAGCACGCCACACCTTGGGGAGGGCATCGAAGAGGTTGGTAGAGGGGGTGGATGGGTCTTGCTGCTGCTGGTGCTGTTGGTGCTGCTGTTGGCCGTTGTGGTCGTTGCATGACTCCATCACATCAAGCTGCACACAGACAGGGTCATACATCCATCCATCCATCTGGATGGATGTTGTGCTATGTGGTTGCCTAGGTGTGTATGGTTTTTGACCAGCAGAGAAGTCGGCAGCCCCGCGAAGGCGGCCTTGTTGAGATGCTCGGCCAGCTGAGACACCGGGATGGGGGCATTCATGGAGCCAAACACACCCACAGTCGCCTGAACGAATGGACAATGAATGCACCAGAATCCGTCCGTCCACATCTATCCATCCCTCTATCATCTCACCAATCACACATGACCAGAATGTGGCACAAGGTCACTACAGCGCACTGACCTGTAGTATTCTGGGCAGCAGTGCATGTGGCACTTTGTCAGGGAAGTAGAACTCCACTGGCCGCCACGGCAACACCGCACCCCTGCCGACACCCACAACACTCGTCGTCGGCACATACACCCTATCCTCGACAGCAACAACACTTGACGACAGGCCGCTCGCCACGTGCACCGCTGCTGGTGGCGCCAATGAAGAGACACGAGGGTCCTTATTTGGTAGTCCTGGCTGTGGGTGTGGCAGTAGGGGTCCACAGGGTGATGGCAGGAACAGGCGTGTGTCGTCTTGTGTGGGGTCACTGGGCAGCGGGGGCAGTGCGGCAGCCGTCCACGATGCCCCAATCCGGGCGACCCGGCGATGGAGTTCCCACGAGAGGCCGGCGTGTGCATATGGCAGCTGCCCGTAGATATCGAGCAGGTCTAGCGTCACCTGTGTGAGGGACACACACGGCCAGGCCACCACTGTGTGCGGTGCGGTGCGGCCTGGTGTGGCGTCAGTTCTGGCATGCACTACACACACCTCAAGTGGAGGTGGCGTGCGAGTGTGCATCATCTTGTAGAGGCGATTGTACACTCTCCGCAGCAGCCAACGGCTGTAGCAACCTGACGACATGACATGCAGCCAGCCAGAAGTCGGCATGAGATACATGTCACAGTGCAAAGTCGGTGGGAAGGATAGGTAATATGATTACCGAGGCGGTCAGCGGCCCTCAGTACATCCACTCTGCACCATTGATTCAAACAACCAAGGACACAGGACGCAGGATGCAGGATTGCCGAGCTGTTCGTTCGTTCGTGAGTGTGTAGCCAGCCCTACGTCGTCTCAATGTCGAGCGTGTGGAGCGTCTTTCGCACTCCATCCATCCACCGCACCGTCACATCCTGACAAATAATAAATACAACACAACACAAGGCGACAAGACAAAACACTACACGCACATGCCGCCCACCTACCTTATCGACATATCCACAGTCCGCCATGGCCGTCACCGTCCTGGTCAGCTCGCCCACACCCCACCTGTACACCGAGCCACCGCCCCTCCCTTGCTCCCGCAGCCCCATGACGCTCTCATCGCCACCACCGGCGGCCGCTTGTACGGGTGGTGACGTCTGTCGATTGCTGCACGCGTGTGCGTATTCATATCGGTCAGCGGCGAGCCAGTAGGTGCCGGCAGCACCACCGGCCGGGGCAACCGGTTTGTGTGGTGGTGTGGTGCGTGTGATGAGTGTCTTGACGGCTGCACAGAGGGGCTCGTCCTTGACCTGCAGCCGGCTGAAGGCACCCACCACGTGGCTGCAGTGCACACACGCCAAACACAGCAAGTCATTGATGGAGCCATGGATGGATGGATGGATGTGTGTGAAACGGACACACACCTGATGTCTCTGCTGCTGGGAGGCGCAATGTCCTGGTCTGAGCAATAGGAAGAAAAGAGAACGGTTTGCAAGGCTGGCTGGCTGCCCACCAAGCCTCATTTATGTGGTGTATGTATCGTGTGTATCCTTCATACCATCAGCCTCCTGGTCGACATCCGGCAGCTCAAACAGCTGGCCAGCACCCACACGCTCCGCCGCACACCTGACATGCATGGCACGATGCGATGGTGGGAGAGATTGTCTGCCGACTCGACCCCCCTTTTATGTTGGCTGGCGTGTGGTGTGGCTTCTCTCTCACCTCTGTCTCTCTGCGATGGCCTTGATGTACCGATCGATGGATGTGCGGTAGGTCTCGGAGGTGTAGTTGAGGAGGGCGTTGTGCTGCTCGCCGAAGTGGCCACACGCTGAGCAGTGGCAGCCAGCCAATCCACACACACAGAGAAAGATAGATAGACAGACCGACAGACAGAGCATCTGTGCTGCCTGCCTGCAGGGATGGGTTGATGGCTTCACACTCTCACCTTTGCACAGGAGAGCCAGGTCACGGTGCAGACACGACGAGTCGCCCTGAGGAACACACAGCACAGCACAGCACAGCACAGCACGGGGCCCATACGCTACGCCCCGCCGCTCCATGTGGTGTCCATCAATGTCTGTCGTTGTATACACACAGCATAGTCTTCGTCCAGAAAGCACTGCGGGGCGGCCCCCAACACATGCCGTAACACCTGCACGAACCCACACACATACAGAAATGCACACATGACGTACACCCACTCTTCCCTGCTTGGCTTGGCTTGGCACACCCACTTACCCGTGGGTCCTTAACGTCGAAGACGGCAAATGCATGAAGGATCATCGCATAGTCAGACCCACTCAGAAACATCCTGCACACACACACGCACAGACACGAAACATACAACGGCCCTGACATGACAGTTCATTGCTGTGGTCGCCGACCTGAGTTGGTCCATCCGAGGCACGACAGCCCGCAAGAGAGCAGCACAGGGGAACCTCACCGTGGCGAAGCAGTGCATGAGCTGCGCCATCTCGCTGCCCGACAGCCGGGGCATCAGCGTCATACACCGACCTGCAATCCGACTCCTGCACACAACACACGCCAGACACACATCCGCTAGACAGACAGACAGGCAAGCACGCCCCCTTCCCTCCCGTCTGGTCACCACAGCCTGTGATGCCTTTTGAACACGTCAGTGCTGATAGTTGCGATCTGCACCAGTTCGCTGGGCGAGGCCGTCTTGATGTTGCCGAAGGGGCTCAAATACCGAATGGCCTGCCCGGCAGACCGCAGGCCGCTCCCTAGGGAGGTGCGGGAGGCCACTGACGGGTCGGTGACGTGCTTGACCATGTGGTAGCGGTATGGCCGCTCCACACGACGCTCCTGCATTATCAGACGGTCCTCACGGTTGAGAGCCTGCGATGGTACCACCAGAGAACAAGCGAGAGATGAGATGGGATGCATCCAGTGATTCATCGCTTCGTGTCGGCGGGCGGCTGACCCTTCTCATGTGCTGCCTGAGGTTCTTCTGGCCAATCCTGACGGCCTGCTGAACCCGCGTCTTGAACCGCCGCTGACCCAGCCGCCACAACCAGAGGGCATGAGTACCCCTCGGATGGCTGGATGCGGCAGGCATGCACTGCCGTGACGCAGCCAGCCATCTCATCCGCGACGTGGCCTCCTCCATGAGTGCTGACGTGAGCAGATGGCCCCAGAGTCAGGTCTCAGCTTGGATGGGCAAAGATCTTCCGCGAATCGATGATGAGGTGCATACCACAGACATGCTGCAGCTCGAAGACGAAGCGCCAGGAACGGAGGCTCATCTATTTGCGAGCTCATGCGATGGCGAGCTTGGCTGGTCAAGAAGAAAGATGTGGCCATCTCTGTCATCAGGTACGCTGCTGCTGCTGCTGCTGCTAGCTGCACCGCTGCAGCAGCTGCTCTGCTTCTCCCCATCTGGCGTGCGGCTCTCCTCTATCGGCCGGCGTGCATCCCTCCTTTCACCGCAGTGGACGAGGCTCAGCGACACAGTCGCAGAGAAGCCGTCGGCATCTCTCGCACCGCCGGCACAGCAGCCGACGCAGCGGCAGGCAGATGCGGACACGAAGACCGTCACACCGGCATCAGCACAGGGCGACGGGAAGGGCGGCCAAGACGAAGAAGAAATGAGCGAGGAGGACCGGCGGCAGCTGATCGAGGAGCTCAAGGCCGCCGTGGTCAAGCTGGGGGAGGAGGACGTGGAGAAGAACGACTTCCCCATCCCCCTCACCCGCGGCAATGTCATCCTGGGCACGCTGTTCCTGTCGATAGCGCCGTTCTTCCTCTACAGCTACATCCTGGAGACAACGGGCATGGACGAGTTCGACCTCCAGCGGTGGTTTGGCGTGGGCGCCGTGGGCGTCGCCACACTCATTTGGACACTCACTTATGTCTTCCGCGTCTACTCCAAAGACACCACATACGCTCGACAGGTCAGTCAGTCAGTCAGAGGGAGCGAGGGAGGGAGGGAGGGAGGGGAGGGTGGATGGATACGTGACGTGGCTGTGTTGACGCTGTCTCATGTGATGTGTTCTGTGTGCAGCTGCGCGATTACGAGCGGAAGGTGCTGATTGCTCGTCTGGACGACTTGACGGTTGACGAGGCGGAGATGCTGGTGCTGTCAGCGCAGGAGGAGCAGGAGAGAGAGGACCAGTACTACGCCAACAAGAACAAGAAAAGGCCACTGTGAGGCAGGCACAGGCAGGCAGGGGCGTGTGTGCTTCCAAGGGGCACACACAGGCCAGGCACACACTCACACAGTCAGTGGTCTGGCTGAATGCAGCGCGGGAGCTAGCCTTGTAGATAGATACATAGATAGACAGACGACAGACAAACTGTGGAGTGAGTGAGTGAGTGAGGGGGGGATCGAGGGGACTTTTTCGCTGATTGGTGGCAGAGGACAGGACGGCAGGCTGACCTTGTTGTGTGATCGATCCATATGTTCGTGTGCGCGCGTGTGTGTACATGACTCTGTTGACATGATTGATTCAACAACTTGTGTGTGAGTCGGTGTCGGATAAGTCATTCGCACAGAGAAAGGGCCACGCAAACTCACACAGACCTGCAGGTGACCGCCGCCACACGATCTGCAGTAACGAGAGACAACAGCACTTGTGTACATGTGTGTCTCTTCTTCGTCACCCGCTGCAATCAACATGACCATTGACCACACCTGGAGACATGTACGCTCGCGAGTATAGCAGAAGAAGAAGCACATGAGGCGGGATGTCACGCCATGTGTGTGTGTGTGTGTGTGTGTTCCTGTAGATGAAGCAGTTCATGGCGCGTGAGGAAATGGACAGCGACGCCCTGGGTGATGGGAGTGTGGGTCGGCTGGGGTTGTTTCGGTGGTGTTCGGTTTTGATTCTCTGACATTTTTGGTTGTCCTGATGCATAGATGCGTTGCTGGTGGATGTGTGGCGGATGTGTACCTGTCTGCCTGCCTGCCCATCTCCCTCTCTCTCTCTCCCCCCATCTGTCGCTCGGTATCGCATCGATGAGTGACACTTTGTGTCAGCTCGTGTGCGGTGAGCGCGGACCGTCTTGTGCTGGTCGCTTCTCGTCGCTCGGCATGCCTCTCGCATGTCATGCACTGTGCTGCGCGCATGCAGGGCCGGGTCGCCTTCTGGGCCCGTGACTGTCCGTCATTGCATGGCACGAGCCATCGCATCTGTCAATGGACTTGGCCACCGCGACACGAGTGATCCGATTCATTCAGAATCAGCATCATTCGTTCGTTCATGAGTCCGCCGCCACGAGTGGCACACGGCTCTGTTTGCCCTTCCGGGCCGGCTCGTTGTATCGATGCACTCGTGGTGCAGAACGACAGACGAGACACACTCTTCACTTTGCGAGTTCATCGCCATCGCATTGTATGCGTGACAGTCGCACAAGCCACGTCAGTCATGTCTCAGTCAGTCAAAGGGGGTGCGGCGACCGCTCTCGGCGCCCACAGAGATGTGTGAGCGATGCACTACATTAGCGCATTAGCCACACATACATGACAGAGCGGCATCATGCCAGCTTCCATGGCTTGACATGGCTTGACGCGCTCTCTCTCTGTTCCTTCCCTCACGAGCCGAGCCCGCTCGCTCCCTTATCAAACCAGCACCGCAGTGCTCGGTCAGAGTCAGTCAGTCAGTACACACCCTCTGTCGACAAAAAAGGTATCGACAAGACGGGAACACCCGCCCACACGCCCACCCGTGTGTACCTGTGTGTGTGTGTGTGTGTGTCTGCGTGTTTGTGTGCGCAAGTGGAGTGGAGGCAAGGTGCGGTGCGGTGCGGTGCGGTGCGGTGAGATGCCTGGACTACGGCTGGACAAATCTACACATCCATCCTATGGACAGATACCTACCTATGCACAAGAGCGCCCCACATCACCTACAATACACATCTATGGATTGGATATCAATATCGTACGTATACAGGTCAGCCCCCCCAAACCTCCCCGACCCTCCCAATCCCCGCCCCATGAGCCACCTCCCACCCCTCCCAACCTCAGTTTGCTGCATGGATCTATCTATGTGTGAATCTAGTCGTCGTACTGGTCGAGGCACTCGCGGATGATGGCGTCCTGGTCGTAGGGTTCGTCGTAGAACTGGGCGGCGTGCTTGGCCATGAGGTCGGCCTCCTCGTTGCCCTTGTTGTTGCTGTGGGCAGGCACGTGCTCGAGGGTCACGCCGCCGTTCGTGGCGCCGCACAACGTGCACACCCAGGAAGAATTCTCACGCTCCTGACACGCACAGGCACACACACACACACACACAAGAGAGAGAGAGAGAGTCGGTGTCGTACGTCTGATGTTCTTTCGTGGTGCTCTGCCTGCCTGCATGAGGAAGTCCAACGTCTTGATCAGGTCCTGGTTGGCAACGTCCTGATTGAACAACACAGACACAACACAGAGACGATCCGGCTGGCAGGGGTTCAGGTGGGGTGCGCGTGTGGGAGAGCTTACGTTTCCTAGCGCGTTGGTCCAGTCGTTGCTCTTCCACTTCTTGAGCCACTTGTACATGCAGTCGATCGTGTACTTGGAGTCCGTGTAGACGACCAGGGGATAACGCAGGTCATCCCTGCACACCCACACCGCACGCGCCGCAGACGTGCGCCCGAGTGATGTGGCACATGAGTGTTAGATGTGCCATCAGGACCGTACCTGCACGCCTCGAGTGCCTTGATGACAGCAAACATCTCCGCACGCTGGTTCGTCTGCTTGCCGTACAAGCGATTGAGGTCATTGCTGCAGAAGACACACACACACACACAGGGGAAGCCGCAGGTACGCACAACCTCTCTCTTGTGCTCTGTTCCTTCTCTCGCTTACTCGGCGTCATTGTCGTCAAACCAAATGGCCCATCCAGCGCGAGGGTACCCCGTGCCATTGCCAAGGCAGGCACCTGCACACAGACAAGACAAGGGGACACAAGGCAAAATGACAGCAGGGATACAGAAGGGCACATCGCATCCCCCCTCTCCTCCTCTCCCCCTTTGTCCCTCCCACTCACCGTCCGTCCACACCGACACCGACATCTTCGCGCAGCAGCAAGCCAAGCCTCACGTTCAACCAACAAGCTGTGCTCAAGTGCTCCAAACAGTTTCGAACTGACCGAAGATTCCTTCCTTCGCCTTTGTCTGGACGACTACAACTGAAGAAGACTCTCAACGCCCAAATGTGCGGGCTGCGGTTGACGGTTGGGAGTCCCGTTTTCCGGTCACCCTGGATGATGGGATTTTTCCCATTCTCCGTGTCTCCGTCGTGTGGGGGTGAGTGACTGTCCTCTGTTCGTCTTGTGCAAGCGCAGGAAGCGAGAGAATCTGGTGAAATTACCCTTCCCTCCGTGCGTTTGTCTGTCTGACTGTCTGACTCATCCGCAGGAGGGAGGAGATGAGGGTTGATGTGATGGTGTGCTGTGGCCAGCTGCTGGAATGTGTGTGGGTTTTGCAATGGCGGTTGGTGTGTAGTGTGGCGTGGGGGTGGGTGAAGGTGTCTGAAGTGGGTGGCCCGAATGTGTGCCCACACACGACCTCATCGCATCGCCCTGTCTGACCATCGCGATACGACACGCGACAAATCAAATCGCACCGGGAGGATGTGATGTGATTCACTCAGAACCAACTCGTCCGTCGTGTGCGCAGCCTTCTGTACAGGCACTCCGCTCTGGGTGCAGACAGACAGTCAGTCAGACAGACAGACATGAGAGACATAGCAGTGGCTCCACCCACAACAGGTGCATTGATTGACCCATCCGGCCAATCAATCGCACTCAGTCACGTCACTCACGTTTGTCGGTCAGTCATGACTGTCAGACGAACTCTGACAAAACAGGGGCCCGGGAGGGCCTGTCTGTCAGCGCCCACATATGTACATACATACTGTATAAGTGTGTACATGCGTGCACTACATTAGCGCATTACCCACAGGCCCAGAGCGGCATCAGACATACCATTTGCATGGCTGTCTGCCCTCTCTCTCTTCCTTCCCCCACAAGGCAGGCCACCAGATCCGAGCCAAGCAGCGATCGTGTGCTTCTGCTGCGTTGCCTTTGCTTTGCAGCGACGCACACGCTCGCTCGCTCGCTCGATCGCTCATCTGTCAGTCCATTAGTGCTTGCTTTTGTCCGTCGACAAAAAGCGCAGCTGTGGGAAGGGAGGCACGTCGCCACACCCAAGGCAACATCCGAGGGTGGCAACTGAGGTGCCTCCCTGAGATGCAACTCTTGGGTGTGGCGAGATGCCTGCCTCCCCACATATCGACAAGACAGGAACACCCACCCACCTCTGTGTGTATCTATGTGTGTGTGTGTAGTGGATGGAAGGAGAGGTGCTCTCTCACAGGTGCTGTACTGACTGTACAAGGTGAGCTGCCTGCCCTAATCTGCACATGACAGGCCAGCCTATCCTCTGAACACCCATACCGCCACATCGCCCGAGTGAGTATGGGTGGATGGATGGATGGATACGACGTAAGTAAGTCATCTATGTATCTGTATTGTGTGTACACACTCAGACCGACACGTGTCCTCCGCTTTCCTTCCCCCTCCCCCTCCCCCAAGGCACCACTACCACCAGCCTGTATGCATGTATGTGTGTGTGTGTATGTGTGTGTGTGTATATGTATGTGTGTGTGTGTGTGTGTGTGTGTGATCGGAGGGATCGGAGGAGGACTAGTAGTAGTCGTCATCGGAGGAGTCGGAGTCGTCATCGTAGTTGACGTAGTTGACGTAGAGGATGATGCTGTCCGGATAGGAAGGCACGGGCAGATTCTGGGCAGCCCTCTTGGCCATGAGGTCGGCCTGCTCGTTGCCATGTTTGTTGTTGTGGGCCGGCAGGTGCTCGAGGTGGCAATGCGCACCGCCCTTCTTGCGCTCCTGACCCACACACACACACACCACACATACACACGTGCGGGTCGGTATTGTTTTGGGTTGTGGCTGTGCCTGCCTGCATGAGGGAGTCCAACTTCTTGATCAGGTCCTGGTTGGCAACGTCCTGATTGAACAACACATACACACGACACACATAGAGCAATGATGCAATGATGTTGAGTTGCATGTCTTTGGTCCGCGTGGGAGAGTGTACTTACATTGCCCGATGAGTTGGTCCAGCCATTTTTCTTCCACTTCTTGAGCCACTTGCGCATGCAGTCGATCGTGTACTTGGAGTCCGTGAAGATGACCAGGGTGGTGCTGAGGTCATTCCTGCACAGATTGCACATGCACACAGAAGTCCATCCGTTGTGTTTGATGGCCGTCACACACGTCTGCCCGCACCTGCACGCCTCGAGTGCCTTGATGACGGCCACCAACTCTGCACGCTGGTTCGTCTCCTTGCCGAACGGACGACCACAGACGTTGCTAACACACAAGCAACACACACAGACACACACACGCACCCACCAGTGTTCTTCCCCCCTCCTGTCGTGTCTCTTGTGTTCTGTGCCTTCCCTTACCGAGGATGGTCATCGCCGAACCAGATGGCCCAGCCGGCACGAGCGGATGGTCATTGCCGAGGCAGGCACCTGCACGCGGCAGCGCTCACAGAGAAGCGGCGGAGAGAGAGATGTAGAAGGCATCGAATCCCATGCATCCCCCTGTTGTCCCTCCCCTCACTCACCGTCAGTCCACACGCGCACCGTCATCGTCGCAGACAAAAACCTCCTCCTTCAACAACAATCAAGGCTTCCTCGAGCGAGCGCTGGAAATCGAGCGTCGGAAACAGTTGCTGAATGAAACAACCGTCCTCTCAGTTCTCGTCAAGGCGAAAGAAACTACGAACGAATCCCGATTGCGAGCTCGGCTGCGGATGACGATCTGGGGAGGATAGCGTCGGACATGGCAGCGCGGTGACTCACAATGCAGTCATTCACGACTTGTCCGTCATCTGGGACTCTCAGCGACGTCGCCGAATCGTTTGACAGCGTCAGAGAGAGAGATGAGGCCATCACACTAGAACAGGCGCTCGAAGGAAGATGCGACGCTCAAATCGCTCTGCATGGCTTGCGGGGGGCTGGTTGGGTGATGCTGCAGCATCGGACGGCACAGGAGGCGCCGGCGAGTGGAGATGATGATAATGTGGTTGCCGGCGGGGAGGGCCGTGGCTTGGGCCGCTTCCTGTGGCGCGTTGGCGAGCGTGTGGTGGACAGTAAGCGAGCTCACAGCAAGCTGGCACCGCGGGCAACTCGTGTGATTGGTCGAGGGCCACGTGTTGTTTGGTGTTGTTCTTGTCTTGGTATGTCAGATATGACATTTGCTGGCGAGGTGTTGGTGAGTTTCTTTGGGCTCGACCAGCATCCCTATCAGGACATCATCGACGAGGCCAAGAAACGGGAGAAGGAGGTGGGGCAGAAACGCAGATAGACCGACACTAAGACGCACCCGCACTCTCGTTCATGGCGGTGCATTTGTCTGTGTCGCCTTGGGTCGTGGCCCTTCGTCTGCAGGAGCGGCAGCGTCAAAGGCGGCTCCGCCAAGAGGCCCTCCAGCGCGAGACTGAAGAGATATCACAGCTGGAGGAGGCGCAGGCATCGGCGTCGGCCTCGGCAGCCGAGGGGCATCCAGGCCAGGGAGCTGCAGCTGAAGACGGTGGTGGGTTGGGTATGGGGCGGGGGTGGGTGAGTCGTGCAGAGGCGAGTGTGAGAGATACCGTGCGGTTTGAGTCGATTGAGTAGAGTGATGGGATGGACAGGCAGATGGATGGATGACCCGCCCCGGCGAAGGGGGGGGGGGGGGGGGG